AGAACGCAGAAGACTCGTCTCCTCTGAGTCCACTGCTGTCCAGCACCAGACCGCTCTACGTCAACCTGCCCAACGGTAGGTGTGTGTCCTGTGTGTGGCTCGTGTGTTCGGCTCAGTGCACCCGTGATGATGTTTGATCATGTGTTTGCAGGTGAGAGTAAGAGTTATGAAGAGCAGCTGCGGCAGATGCTTCAGGACTTGAGCAAAGGCAAAGACAAGGATGAGGAGAAGCCTCTTCCTCACATGAACCAGGTGAACTAAGTCCATAAACCTGTGTGTGTTTAGGATATTTAGTCACAAAACTCATCAGAAACCAAACTCGCTCATGTGCAAGAGATGGTCCTCGCTGTGATTGTGGTGTTTCATCTCAACACCACAATCACACAACACAATCCTGAATAAAGTCGTAGTTTTTGTTATTTTTGGACCAAAATGTATTTTCGATCTAATTGAAGAGAATTGGCACTGGCTGCAGTAACACGTCTGTCCATGCGGGGGCGCACGCGGTCGAGTGCAGAATGAATGGGAGTCAATGGGGTTTCACCCCCAGAAATCCACTTTTCTCAGGATGTAATTTTTTGTCAAGTAATTTGAAAGTTGCGAGGGCTAAGATAATACACTCAGCTGAAAATTGCATTTTTAAGTTCACTTATCTGTTCTAAAAATCCGTTCAAAACTGTGATGATGTCACACAATAGCAGAATGCTAGCGTGTTCCTAACCTGTAAAAAATCAAAAGGACATAAGTACTCGTTCACTCGACTTTTGGCCTATAATCTATATTGAACTTGCGGAATCAACAATAAAATCTGTGTTAATTTAACGACAAGCAGGTGAAAGAGACACATTTAGTCGTTTAGCCCCATAGACTCCCATTCATTCTGCTCTCGCCCGTGATCACCCCCAGTGGAATTCTAATGGAACTGCAACCAGGATGATACACAACGGGGCTAATGGCTCTCCGTTAGACGGGCTCTGATGTCACATGGTCTACTTTGATGATGTCTTTATGTCCTTTCTGGACAAGGACAGTACACCGTACACACACAGAAAGCTCTCGGACTAAGCCTTCCCTAAAAAACAATCCTCAACAAACTACTTGTCCGGCCTCAAAATTTCTAATACAGAATTGAATCGCTTCGGCGTTACCGGAATTATCCCGACAGCGATTGTCTAATAACTCACGAGTGTCTTGTTGTGTGTGATTTGTCTCATCAGCGGGAGTTCATCCAGTTTTGTAAGACGCTGTACAGCATGTTTCAAGGCGAGCCGTGTGAGGCCGAGCTCTTCCAGGCCATCGGGATGGTCACCAGTCTGGTTCTGCAGATCGGGGAGGCTGGGAACCACACGGAGGACGCCTCCAGAGACTCGGACGCCCACTGGTCCGTCAGCTTCGAGCAGATCCTGGCCTCTCTCCTGACCGAGCAGGTTCTGGTCAACTTCCTGGAGCGGCCCGTCGACCTGAGCGCAAAGATCGCGTCTGCGAAGGCACGGCAGTATCAGGAGCGCGCCGGTCTGCTCATGATCCAGCATGCAACGAGAAGCTGACGAGGTCCAGGCGACGCTTTCACACGTGCCTTGATCTCGGACCAAACCACATGACGCATTTCTGTCACCGACATCTAAACATTCTTAAATCAAGAGACGTTTACTGGAGAACAAGCGAAGATAGTGATGAAAATGAGTTTATAGTTAAAACAAGAACAAATATCTGACAATGGGGTCAGAAAAATAATCTTGATGGATTAAAGGAGTAGTTCACTTTTCAAAAAACTTTTGCTGATAATTTACTCACCCCCATGTCATCCAAGATGTCCATGTCTTTCTTTCTTCAGTCAAATTTTCATGAAAACATTCCAGGATTTTCTCCATATAATGGACTTCAATGGGAACCAAACGGTTCAAGGTCCAAATGACAGTTTCAGCGCAAGCTGTTCAAAGGGCTTTAAACGATTCCAGACGATGAATAAGGGTCTTATCAAGCGAAATGATCGCTCATTTAATAAATAAATAACAAAGTTTAAGTTTTCTAAGCTCAAATGCTCGCCTTGCTCTGTTCTGTGATGAGCGCTCGTGACTCTCCTGTTTGAACTCGTTCATCAAAACGAACAAATCTTTTTCCGAGTCAACGAACGAATTGACTCCGAACAAGATTCCTTCATTTTGATGAACGAGTTCAAACAGGAGAGTCACGAGCGCTCATCACAGAACAGAGCAAGGCGAGCATTTGAGCTTATAAAACGTAAACTTTGTTATTTATTTATTAAATGAGTGATCGTTTCACTTGATAAGACCCTTATTCATCGTCTGGAGTCGTTTAAAGCCCTTTGAACAGCTTGCGCTGAAACTCTCATTTGGACCTTGAACCGTTTGGACCCCATTGAAGTCCATTATATGGAGAAAAATCTTGGAATGTTTTCATCAAAAACCTGAATTTCTTTTCGACTGAAGAAAGAAAGACATGGACATCTTGGATGACATGGGGGCGAGTAAATTATCAGCAAAAGTTTTTTGAAAAGTGAACTACTCCTTTAAGTTGATTTTTCGGACACCATTAGTTCTTGTTTAAAGCACAAACTCACTTCATTTTGATTTTTTCTGACTTTGCTTGTTCACCCAAAAAATGAAAATCATGTAATTATTTACTGTTCTAACCCTGCATGAAGTGTTCATCTGTTGAACATAAAGATATTGTGAGGAATATTAGTTTCACAGTTTTTGCTCCCCATTGACTTCCATAGTGTTATTATTTTGTTCTATATGGGGACCAGGAACTGTTTGAACACCAACAATCATCACAATATATTCCTTTATATTCAACAGTGGAAAACTTCATGCAGGTTTAGAACAGCAAATACATGCAAAAGTTCCTTTATTTCAGTAATTCAACAGGTCTCATTACATGCAAAGTGAAATATTTCAAGCCTTGATTTAGTCATAATTTTGATGATTATGAATTATGAAAACCTTTTAACAAAATATTCTAATTTTGAATTTGGGGTTTTCATAAGCTGTAAACTATTGAAATATCTCACTTTGCATGTAATGAGTCTATATAATATATTAGTTTCGCCTTTTAAGTTGAATTACTGAAATAAATGAACTTTTGCACCATATTCTAATTTTTCAAGTTTCACCTGTAATTACATTATTTTACTTTTTGGGTGAACTGTCATTTTTCTTCTCTAGTAAATGTATCTTGATTTTCTGGAAACCAAGGCAAAAGCCATTTTTTTTTTTTGCAGTGTGGCGTGTCTAAATCCCATGATGCCGCGGGGTGAGCTGGACTCCCCTCACTGAATGCTTTACCGCCGCTGACACACATTTATCCCAGTGTTTTACTTTCATATTCCTCAGTACAGCTTTACAATGAGGTTTCATTTGTGAACATTACTTCCAACGCATTTATTAATCGTAGTTATCATTAATCTCAACATATCTGTGACTTTAGTTAATGCACTGTTAGGAAAGGTTAATAAATGCAGTAATATACAGGATAAATTAGAATATGGTGCAAAAGTTCAGTAATTCAACTAAGATATTATATGCAAAGTGAGATATTTCAAGCCTTTATTATGAATTTTATGATTATGGATTACAGATATGAAAATCTTTTCACAATATTCTCATTTTCAATTTGGGGTTTTCATAATCATCGAAATTATGACTAACTATAGCCTTGAAATATCTCACTTTACATGTAATGAGTCTATATAATATATTAGTTTCACCTTTTAAGTTGAATTACTGAAATAAATGAACTTTTGCACCATATTCTAATTTTTCAAGTGTCACCTGTGTATTGCTCGTTGTTAGTTTATGGAAGTTCAGTGAAGTGAAACTGATTGAGATGATCTGTTCCTGTTTTAACGGTGTTCACACACATCTGCCCCTCACACACCAGGCATTATAAACGTGTTTTGAGTTTTTAGTGTGGATTCCCACATCTGCAGCTGTCGTTCAGTCTGATGGGATTGTTTACACGTGACTGACTGTATAAATGAGACTCACATAAAGGAAATATTGATGGTTATGATTATTTGACCCGTCCCAGCGGCTGAATGATGTTGAACTTCAGATGATTATATCCGAGACCCGAGCGTTCAGTGCGTTTAAATCATTTTCATTCAAATTTATTAATTTTAGTTTTTCTTTTTTTTTAAGGAAATATTGCAAGATCAATATCACACATTTAGAAAATGGATAGTGAATTTCAATTTAATGCCTACTTAAATGTTGATTCTATAGGAATATTCCAGTTTAAGCTCGATTAACCGCATTTGAGGCCATGATGCCAATTTTGACACTTTAAAATCAAGGTTTTGTTTAAATTTTGTATAAATTTAAAAGCCGACATGCAACGCTAATAATTCTGCATTAATTCTTCTGTTAAACTTTAATGACATTTTAATAATATTAAAACACGATGTGCATTTTAACATTTATATATTCACTTCCACTGCAAGCGGCAACCCAGATTCTGTGAAAATGAGTTTTCGTTAATTGTAATTAACATGCCACAAATGCTCATTACTTATATTTATTATTTGTAACATGCAAAGTGTATAAGCTGACTGTCTGAACAAGCCAGTCTTTAGTGCACGCATTTGGTTTTGCGGCTCTCGGACGTATAAAGTGCCTTAAAAACAAACAGTCATGTGACTGATCCTCAGTTTTATCGTCCCACAGGAAGCGTTCATACAGCGTGAAATCCAAAGGGACCACGTTTAACTCTTCAGATGCTGATTACCCAAATGAAGCTTTAGTTTCCATTTCATGTTGTGATTGAAGATCCTGAGAAACTCGGAAACATGTAGCATTAGATGACTTTCTAGGTTGGAGGAACCAATCATGACTCACTCTGCACAATCTCACCTCAAGCCTTTCGGAGTGAATAATCAGCTTTAGGTGAAGAAGACGTCGTTAAGTTTACATATGCATGTTGTACTGCTGATTATGTCAATATCTCCACATGCACAAATAAATCATCCACAGCAAAAATCCTTTTATGTTTTTATTCCAACAGACATGAAGAGAAAATTAATTTAATTTTCATCCACATTTACAGTCTGAAGACCTGCGAACACACAAAGCACACGGTTTGAGAAGGTTTTTAAAGATGCAGCAAGTATAATGACAGTCATTCAGCACTTCAGATGTGTAGCTCACCTTTGTACGTGGTGACGGGGACGTATGTGACGAGGGTGTACAGCTTGTTTGGGGAATCTTCGTCTTCGTTGCGTTTCCTGGACAGGCGCACACGCATGCGGTACGGCACGTTCCTGACAAACACAAGACGGCACCGTTAAGCATCAAATGCGTAATTGTGAATGTCTGACAATGCTAAAATTCCTCCGCTTTAGGGTGTGTGTAATCTATGTTTGTGTCGACACAACACACTGAAAATATAATCATTAAGTTGATGCGCCGCTTGTTTTTGCTCAAGATCTCGTATTGAGAACGCCAGAGTCCAGTTTCAGTGAATTTAAGTTGTGGGAAATGATCATTCTTTCAGTTTGAGTGAGGATGAATCTGGACATTGTCATCCTGGAATATGGCCATGATGCGTCTTCATACATGCTTGTTTCAGAAATGAAAAGCTCCATCAATTACTGTACGTTCACACCGCCACCGACGAGAGCGTCAAAGTGACGTATTTCCCCCAAAATAACTGTAATACTGACAAATTCTTTAATAATAAATAGACTTAAAGGTATAGCGGAGGATTTTCTTTTTCCGGGTGGGTAGTCCATACTATTGGTCCACCTAAGTGTCAATCATTCTGGTGATATGTTTACGTAAGGCCGCCGTAGGCTACGTGCTCATCCCTATGTAGTTTTTACTTTCAGGTGTATTATGTCGGAGTTACGGTTTCGGAGTTAGGGTCGAAAGAGAAAAAATGTTTACGAAGTGTATGATAAGAAGAGAAAGGCCGCAGAATATAGAAACAAGACCAGAATGATTTTGGGTGAATATCACACGCTGGCGTGCGCTAAAAGCACAGGTTGGGCTTCTCACTGATGCCGCAGTCGCGAAGATTCTACCAGACAGGTAAAGTTTGTCATGCTATTTGGAGAAATCCATTTAAAATCACTAGTAAAAGTTAATGCAAGCTACAATGCTAGCCCTGGCACGAGTCATGCACCGCATAGACACGGTAAACATCTCAATTTTGTCTAAAGTAGCCTTTTGACCAAAATGGTAAATGGTATCACGCTGAAATATTCTAAAATCTTGTGTGTTTATTATTACACAAATGCAACAAGCTACTTCTCCATATGCAACTATGTATAAAAATAACGTATTAACAATGAGAGATATTAGGTTAAGGACCAACGTAATAGCACTGCTTATATGTTGCTATGTAACGTAATTGCGATTTGCTAAATAGTTTCCTCAGATCGTATTTCGTGTGATACAGGGTTGCACATATCATGTCTTGAGTCCTCGGTCACTCAATTGATCAGTATAATAAGTAAATAAAACACGAAAGGGCATTTGACATGTTGTCTTTTATATGAATATTTTAGTGTTAGTTTAGAATTTGCAACATAATTGTGCAAGGCGTAATAGACGTTCCCTCTCGGGAGCAAGAGTGTTGTGTTTGTGCATGTGCATTTTTTTTTTTAAAAATTGGAGAGGGCGGGTCTTCTCTAAAATTCGGAAAGATCCTCCGCTATACCTTTAACATTATGATATGCTATTTTATTTTAAGTTCACAGGGCTCCAGACTCAAATTTGAGGGCAGCACCACCTCAAATCAGAACTCACACCAAGTTATACAAAAAAAAGTCTGCAGCTTCATAATATTGGCGGTTTTCGACTTTATGCAAATATAAAGCGAGAAACGCAAGCGGCAGCCAATCGCTGTGAAGTTCAGGCATGACATCGGTCTTGAATAGTTTAAAACACGCAGGTTATGCTGGATCTGACATCTTTACTCGGGTCAGGGGCGTCCGATCATGTTCCTGGAGATCTACCTTTCTAAATCCAGTTCAAACTACAGTACACACGACTCAAAGCGAAGGCATTTTAGTGTTATTAGCGGGAATGGCCAACAAAACCACCGAGACCGTCTCACCTGACACCTTTAGCCCACACGGCCTTGTTGAGACGGGTATCGATGCGGACATCAGGCGTGCCCATCTCCTTCACAGCGAACTTGCGGATCTCCTTCAGCGCTCGAGGAGCTCTCCTCTTGAACGAGCTGGAAGAGGAGCAGACAGAGGTGTTTACACTCCAGTGTGTGTTACAGGTGAGCGTTCACTCACTCCAGGTGTGACTTACATGCCATGGATGCGCTTGTGGATGTTGATGGTGTATTCACGCGTCACAACCTCATTGATGGCGGAGCGGCCCTTCTTCTTCTCGCCCTTCTTGGGTGCCATCTACACACATATATATATAAACACAATCACACACTGGATGCACTTCACAGGATACACGTCACTCATTAACCAAAACACACTAATAATAACCAATTCTGACTTTATTCCTCATTGTAAAACCTTAAAAAACTAGTGCATACAGTGCTGAGACTAAGCTGCTTAATGTTGGAACTGTTAATAATACAATCACGAGCTAATTGACTAACTTCCATAGTGTAAGAGTTGACAATGATTATTCATATATGTAACTTAAATGACGGCATCATCGCGTTAAAACACAGTTTACCCAGTTAAAATCGGTGTAATTCTGCAGGTTTGCCGCTTTATATTTGTTCGTCTCTTCCTCTCACGGACGCGTTAGCATTAAGTCTTTAAACACTCACATCAGCGTCTTAAACACACCAAAACGCACCCCAGTGATTCATAACGTGTATGTACACTCAAATGTGACATTAAACTTAATTATTTGTGCTTAATTACGCGGATGATGCTGGATTTATAAACGATAAACGAGAGGAAGATACTCACTCTGTACGATGAATGTGGGAAAGGAAGAGCGGTGGATTATGGGACACATTCAAGGCGGAACGCGCATTCACATCCGGGTCATTCTTCGGTGTTGTGTTTTCTTGTTTTTTATTATTATTTTTTTTTTATGAGTGAATATTATGGTTATAATAATATAAAAACAGATTTATTTTTAGAACACAGTTTGTGATTTTTTTGTTGGACGTTATATTTGTTTTCCGTTTTTATTTTTGAAACTGCATCTCCCATAAATCCGTTCGGTTCACAGGAAGCGCTAACCGACAACCGCGACGGTTATGATTGAGTAGAAGTGAAGAAGATTCAGATTAAATAATAGAAATAGTCTAATGATTAAAACATTAACCTGTAAAATCTCTCGGATAAGCGTTATATCAGCACTGGAGCGTCACCGCGTCTGGTTTTTATTGAATATTCATGAGCTGACGGGACGGTAACTATCAATGAGCTCCTCTCAGGTAATGTTGTTGTTACTGACTCTGTCAATAAATCTACCGAGTTCCCTAAATAGACAGCAGTTTGAGGAGTTTAGTAAGTGAAATAAAACTGCTTGTAGTATTTGAGGTTCGTCTGGTGTGTTTCATTAAGCTGGGAAATCCAGTCATAATTCGAATTTTGTATCTGTTACTGTACAATAATTGTATTAACTCCATAAAACCTTATTGGTATCATATTTTTAGCACATTTCTAATACCTATAAATGATCAAAACCAGTCACACACAGTCCTTCTGTCGTCGACATTTTTAGTAATGTTGTACTGAAGCAACTTACAGGAGCCAACATTTGAAGTGGATCAAAAAAGTTCAACTAAGTTGTTCTAAGACAAGAACTGGTATTGATCCACTTCAAATGTTGATTTACTGTAGGGTTTATAAATTATCCAGACACCATTTATTAGAAAAATCACGAGTATATTATTATCAAACATGATCATTAGTCTTTTTATGACGGTTTATTAGTCCATCTCTCAATTATAATTGCATTGCATTATATGTTTTAAAACTACAGAGCTTTGATCATAAAACTAAGCATTTAAATATGACCTGACTTAGACATATTATTGGCAGATATTAATATTAAATGCATTTTATGTATCTGCTAACTAGTTCTCATTGATTTACATTACAAGCATCAGAATTTCATCTTACCTTTGTGCCATATAAATATCAGTATTTGCAACAAAATTGCATATTTTTGCTCAGTTTTATTCTCTATATAAAACGGAGATGTTTTCCTCCATAGTCTCACTATATTATATGAGCCATAAAAGCCTGATGTATCTATGATTTTTGACTTTTATTTTGTATGTCAGGCGTTTACAGGATTAGACTTTACTTTCCGAATCAAACTCATGAAATGTCGTAAATCCTTCCAATAGTTATTAGATCTAGTAGCATCATTTAAAGTCACTAAGAAATCCCAATTGACTTCTTATTTTTTATGCAATATTGCAGTATTTTTTATAAATGATTAATCCGTGCACATCATTATTGTTTGAAATTGATGTTCCTGATAATCTTGAATCAGAATAACTTCCTCTTCTCTGATGATGTGGGCGGAGCAACCTGTCACTCGCATGAGATCAGCCAATAGCAAACCACAACCATCCAATCAAAATCAAGCCCCGCCATACATTTATTCTTGTTTGAGAAGCGTATTACTCGGAATAGCGAAGGAAAAATGATTTAAACTTAATTTCATGCCGGCTTTACTTCATCCATTGTTGTGTCTCTTTCTAGTCCTCCTGATCCAGTGGCCTGTGTGACCGAAGCATCATGACGCTGGCTCCTAAAGAGCTGTCGAACCTGCTGGGCATCATGTCGGAGGACGCCTGCAGCAACAGCTTCGAGCAGCTGTCCACCGCCTTCCATCACTGCTTCGGTAAAGCCGAGCACTTCCGCGTGGGTTCGGTTCTGGTGATGTTGCTGCAGCAGCCCGACCTGTTGCCCAGCGCCCCGCAGAGGCTCACGGCGCTGTACCTACTGTGGGAGATGTACCGCACCGAGCCGCTGGCCGCTAACCCCTTCGCCGCGGTGTTCGCGCACCTGCTAAACCCATCGCCCGCAGGAGAGGAGCCAGAGAAACCGCTCTCAGGTGTGTCCTCCTCTTCTGGTTGTGTTTGTCTTGCATCATTAAAAGGAGAGTTCACCCCAAAAAATAGAGAGACTAAGTCCGCCCCCTTCCGGTCGACCACCATGTGACCTTATTTCGAGGAATATTGTATGGTAGTCAATGGCGAGAGACAACAAATATTTTAATCTGAATTACACATATGATGTTTGCCAATTTAAAAAATACATTTTAAAGTAAAGAAAGTCTCAGTTTGATGTAAAACCGTTGAGGTATAAGACTGTGAAAATACGTAATTACAAAGACTACAAACCCCAAAGGCGCACATTTTCTCTCAAAACGTCTGTCATTGTGTCTATAGTCTTACGTTATAATGGTAACGTTACGCTGTCATACCTGAGTGTTTTGTACCAGACTGCACACACACGAGCAGCGGATCTCACTCGTTGTTTTGCTTCCCGGGAGATGTAGTTCATTGAGCGATTTTCACATAAAACTAAATGTTACTCTTCTGTTTTATGACAAACTGCGACTTTCTTGACTTTCAGAATTATCTTTAATTGACAAACATCATATGTGTAATTGAGGGCACAGTTCAGACGGAATAAAAAGGCAAGTTGCCGAAATAAGGTCCCATGAGCCGGAAGCGGAGGGGTGGGGCTTAGGCTCTCTATCGCATCCAAAATAAAAGTTTGTTTACATAATATATGTGTGTGTAGTGTGTATAATTATTTTGTATATATAAATACACACATATGCATAAATATGTTTATATTTAAGAAATATTTGCATGTATATATTTATACATTATTCATATTATAAATATTGTATATATTAATAACATTGATATACATGCATATATGGGTATTTATATATATATATATATATATATATAATAATAATACACAGAGTAAACACACATATATATATATTACATAATCAAACTTTAATTTTGGATGTGATTAATCATTTCCCATCCGTTCTTCTTTTTTGGACGAATGCAATCGGAGTTATATTAAAAAATGTCCTGGCTCTTCCAATCTTTATAATGGGAGTAAATGGGTTTTTGGTAATAATAATAAATAATAATAATAATTAAAGTGCTCGAAACGGCTCTGCGGGGGTTAATAAAGGTCTTCAGAAGTGAAGCGATGCGTCCGTGTAAGAAAAATATTCATATTTAAAACTTTATCGACTAAAATAACTTGTGCCAAAAGAGTAACACACGCATTTGGCTGCTGTTAATGTCGAGCTATATATAGCTATATCTTCTGTAGCGCTGCTCATAACTGAATTAAACTCATCTTATAACTAAATATCTTACACTGTTATTGAACTGAATAGTCTTTTTAGAGCTGCTTTACAGCTGAATCATTGTTGTTTTCCAGTTTATTACTTAGAAGCTGCTTTAAAACGATATGTATTGCACAAAGTGCTATAGAAATAAATATTATGTAAATATAAATAATATATTCTTTCCTGTAGCTCAAACAGTAGAGCGTTTGCGCTTGCAACGCCAAGGTCATGGGTTCGATTCCCAGTGAAAGCAAGCACTGATAAGAATGTAAATGTGTCACTTTAGATAAAAACGTCTGACTAATGCATAACTGTAAATGTGTTTCTGCTGCAGGTTTTCTTCCTCCCATCACACTGCCGGAGAAGTTCTTCCTCTCGCAGCTGATGCTCGCGCCGCCGCGAGATCTCTTCAAGAAGACGCCGAGACAGGTGTCCTCCATGGACGTGAGCGCCACGCCACAGACCATCGACATCAGCGGACTCCAGCTCGCGCTCGCTGGTACGAAGCAAACTACAGATGCAGTTATATAAGGCTTAAAGGGACACTCCACCTTTTTTCATTTTAAACTGTGATCCCCTTAACTAAGACGGGTTGATGCATAACTCTCTCGTCTCAGTGCGTGCACTCCATCGCTCTGTCTTGCGACGAAAATTTGATAGCACTTAGCGTAGCCCAATTCAAAGAGGCTACATACAATTATAATTGTGTTTGGGGCTTTAAGGTGAGACACTACAGGTGAATGGGGACTTTTTTTAACAAGGAGATATCACCATGAAACTTTCCTAGTTGATTACTACATTAAGAGGAGAAAAGAAATGTATTACAAGTTTTCTGTAATTTTTAATGTTTAAATATGCTAATTATCTAATTAAATATGCGCTAATTTGCTTATATTTAAAAAAACGAAATACGAGTATTGGATAAAGCCAAGTTCAAAATTCTTTTTTCATTGATTTCTGTTCACATATTAGATGGGAAACAAATTACTGTGAGATTTATAATATCTACTTTAGTTATCCTGTAAATCAGAATATACTGTCAGTAGCCTTAAAATAATGATTTTGCGCCATGTTTTATGGAATAAAATGTTATATAAATTAGGCTAGGAATAATATTTACAAATCCCTTGGTAAATGTCTACATAATATAACTAGGTACAAGACTGGGAAGTTTGGTGTGTATCGGTCCGACTGAAGTGGAGATTCTGATTTAGAGTTTGTGAGAAAAGTCATTTTGAGAAAACGGGCTTTAAAGATTTAGCCAGTGAGATCGTGCATTTAGAGTTAAATCCCCCCTTTTACTTTCACGATTGGTTGCTGATAAAAAGGAAATGACCGTATTTGGAGAGCATTGTGCAGGATAGAGAGCTTTCTAACGGTGTGTGATGTCAGGGTGCGGACAGCGATCGCAGAGCAGCGGGAGGATTTAGATCGCCAACTTTTGATGAATTTATGAGAAATCTACAGACAAAGTGTACTAAAATAAAGACCTGAAGTCTGAAGTCACCACATTTCTGAAAGAAGACATGTTATTGAAGACAAATATCCCAAAATCTCTAAATTGACCAGTGAAAAAAAACAACAACAATGCCTGCCGTGTCTCGCCTTAATGGTGAGACTTTTGTTTTTGAAATCAGGCTCTCAAACATTATATAAAAATTTGGATTTAGATTTATCAGCCAAAATTTTCATATCAGTGCATCCCTTACAGACAATCATACAGCCAAGCCAATTTGCATACTCACATATATATACTTACATATAGATACATATATATCACTTTAGATAAGTGTACTGTATGTCTGCATAGTTTAACAACCACAATCCAGTATTTCTCAGAGATATAACAAACATCTTGTGTGTTTTCACTTTTCATTCAGAGCGCCAGTCGGAGCTGCCCACTCAGAGTAAGGCCAGCTTTCCCAGCCTGCTCAGCGACCCGGATCCAGACTCCTCCAACTCGGGCTTCGACAGCTCCGTGGCCAATCAGATCACAGAGTCTCTGGTGACTGGACCTCGTCCTCCTCTGGAGAGTGAGTATGAGGCTGATGTTTAGTAGGGGTGTTACGAGACCCTCACGTCACGATTTAGTACATCTCATGATACCGTATCATTGCGATACTCCAAGTAGGGGTGTGCGATATCACCGTTTTTGATCGTGGATGATTTACTGTCTAATGTTGTTCCAAACCTGTATTAATTTCGTTCTTGTGCTGAACACAAAAGAAGATATTTTGAAGAATGTGGCCAACCAAGCAGTTGCTGGTCCCCATTGACTTGAAAATCGTTTTTCCTCAAAAAAATTTTTGGATAAATTGTGAAAATTGCCATATCACTCACACCTAACTCTAAGACATGATAAAAGGTTTACAACAAAATGTACCATTGATTAAAATGCTAACTTTGATATTACATTGAAAACTGAAGCTGAAACCCAAGGCACAGGAAAATAGAGACACCAGAATAACAATATTCATGATTCTGAAAATAGAATTATTAGATGAATATTCTTGCACTGACTAGATATATTTAAAATTATGTAGGCCACTTTTTACAGGTAACATCAGACATTTGGCATTATCATATTATTATACATCATATTCAACATTATATAGAGAAGTTTATTGGATTACTGACACTAAAACTCACACAGTAATTTATATTTTGGGTGAACTATACACAATACATGTTACACTTTTGTATTGCGACATATATTGTTACACACCTAGTGTTTAGTTTGTTTTAATTGTGATGCAACTGTTGAACATGTTTTTTCTGTCCCGTCTGGTTCTCTGTCAGGCCACTTTCGTCCCGAGTTCATCCGGCCCGCTCCGCCTCTTTTGGTGTGTGAGGATGAGCTGTCCTGGCTCAACCCGTGTGAACCGGATCATCGGATTCAGTGGGATCGGTCCATGTGTGTGCGGAACGGCACGGGAGTGGAGATCAAGCGCATCATGGCCAAAGCCTTCAAGAGTCCATTATCAGCGGCACAGCAGACGCAGGTACATGTCATCACAAAACACGGTCAGGTCCAGCTCACATTCACTTAAGAAGATGTTGCTTGCATTATGTTTTTGTGACAATTAAAGGAATGGTTCACTTCAAAATGAAAATTATGTCATCATTTACTCGCCCTCAAGTTGTTTCAAACCTGTATGAGATTTTTTTCTTCTGCTGAACACAAAGGAAGATATTTTGAAGAAAGTCGTAAACTAAACAGTTGATGGACCCCATTGACTTCCATAGTATTATTATATTTTTAAACTATAGAAGTAATGATGAGAGAATTTTCATTTTGAGGAGAACTATTCTTGGGCTGCAACTATCGATTGTTTTAATAATCGATTAATCTGACGATTATTTTTTCGAATAATCGGATAAAAAAAGAAAAAGCATTAATAAATCCAACCCTTTATTCAAAAACAAAACTCACTAACACAAACATACATATGTATGCTTTACATCTCCATAGGCTTTAAAAAAAGTGCACAAAAAAGATATATATTTTGTTAAAAGGGACCTGAGCTATCAGAAGTCATATATATATCATCATTGGGAATAAACAGGCTTTTTTTTTCTTTACACACTACCAGTCAAAAGTTTAGGGTTAGCAAGATTTTTTTTATTAGAAATTCAGCAAATAAAATAAAAATACTCAATAATCAACAATACTCAATAATCCTTAAAAAGTGATAGTTAAACATTTATAATGTTTTGAAAGATTGTATTTCAAATAATTATTGTTCTTTTGAACTTTCTATTCATCAAAGAATCCTGAAAAATAAAATGTATGACGGTTTTCAAATAATTTAGATCAAATAAATAATAATAATAAATAATTATAATTTTAATATAATAACATTTTTTTTCTCTCTCTCACATTAAATTTTCTATTTGGGCAAGCTGAAATAGCAATTCAGTGTTAAAGGGGTTAATACAATTCTATATAAATATAGGGTTTAGCTATTATAAGGTAATGACTGTTGTTTTAGATGTAAATGGAGCGTGAACAAATGTAAAGAAAGGAAAGAAAAAGGGAAAAAGAGGGAAAACCTTTATTTTTATATATAGATAGATAGATAGATAGATAGATAGATAATATATATAGATATATATATATATATTTAAAAATGAGTGTTTGCGTTTCTAAGATGCTATTTTCCGTCTTGAGACTCTGTTTTTCAAATCTATTGGCGCTCCTTTCTAGCTGCTTTTTTTTTTTTTAAGCTTTTTACTAAAAATCTTATCTCTTTAATGTTTTTGTAAATAAAGTGATCTTAAAGTAAAAAAACTCTCTCTCTCTCCCTCTCTCATCAGCTGCTTGGTGAACTGGAGAAGGACCCTAAGCTGGTTTACCATATTGGACTGACCCCAGCCAAACTACCGGACCTGGTTGAGAACAACCCACTAGTGGCCATTGAGATGCTCCTGAAGCTCATGTCATCCAATCAGATCACGGAGTATTTCTCTGTCCTGGTCAACATGGACATGTCACTGCACTCCATGGAGGTGGTCAACAGGTACAGCGTTAAACTCCTCCTCTAGAGGCTTACGCACTGGATAGTTATAGGATCCAGCCACCGGGATGGTTCCCAGAGAACTAATGGTTCCCCTAGGAACGTTTTCTGGTTGCATTCGCATTGCCAATAGGAACTCTGAACTGACGTAAGACACGCTTGTCGTTGGGACTTTTATTTTGACGGCACTGAGAACGCCAGAGCCTGAGCAAATGAACAATGCTCGCATTCTCTGTTCATTAGTTTACAATCTGTTTAACAGTCCTGTCAAATTCGTTATTAGATATAACTATTATACATGCTGTATAAAATATAAATATAAAAAATAAAAACACAGATGAAACTCGAAAAATTAGAACATCGTGCAAAAATTCATTTATTTCAGTAATTCAACAGGTGAAACTAATATATAGACTCATTACTCGTATGTCAAGCCTTTATTTGCTATAATTTTGATGATTATGGCTTACAGCTTATTTTAAAAACCTTTTCACAATATTCTAATTTTGTCTTTGCGGTTTCCATAAGCTGTAAGTCATAATCATCAAAATTATAACAAATAAAGGCTTGAAATATCTCACTTTGCATGTAATGAGTCTATATAATATATTAGTTTCACCTTTTAAGTTGATTAATTCAACAAACAAAAACAGCAAGTCATGTTATATAAGATTTTTTAAATTAACATGTTATAAAAAATCACAAACCTTTTCTGGAAATCAGAATTACTGAAAAGGTTTGGGATTTTTTTATAATATGTTAATTTAAAGAATCTTAAATAATATGACTTGCTGTTTTTGTTTGTTTGGTTTTCATTGTATTTATATGATATTTGTATTTCTGTAATTTAATTTTTTGCCATGAAAATACCCTTAGATGCTGACATGACATGGTGTGTGTGTTGAAATGTAGGTTGACGACAGCAGTAGATCTTCCTCCTGAGTTCATCCATCTCTACATCTCCAACTGCATCTCCACATGTGAGCAGATCAAAGACAAATACATGCAGGTAAACACACGGACCATCATGCATCTGTGTCAGCTACTTTTAATACTGTCATGTATAGAAATTTGATTCAACAAAGACGCATTAAATTAATCAAAAGTTACACTAAAGACATTTTATAATGTTACAAAATATTCTTTTCAAATAAATGCTGTTCTTTTAAAGCATCCTGAAAAATAAATAAAACAATGTTTCCAGATTGCCTGGCAGATATATACTTTTTTGAATTTAAGCAAAAATCACTTAATTTTGATCCATTTAAACAAGACTTAATATCTTAATATCTCTACTAATATCTTCTCTAGTAAATATATCTTGATTTAAGAATGTTTAGATATGTGTGCTGGAAAACAAGACAGAAACACTGAGGAAGAACGTCATTTTTATCTGTGTTTGATTTGTATGGGCTACAGTGCATACGATACAATATTACTCCAATTATTTGGTTACATAAAAGCATATATAGTCAGAATGTAACATGAAAATGTATCAGATGATCTGACAAACCTACAGAGAAATCTGGAAAAAGTGTTATTTTGATTAGGCAGATGTGGTTTAAAGGGATAGTTCACCCAAAAATGAAAATTAGCACATGATTTACTCGCCCTCAAGTGAAGTCATCCTAGGATTCGACTTAAGTCTGCAGGGCAACATATGTGAGCGAGTAAAGTAGTGCTGATATTTACACTGCGCCATGATGCACAACACTACTTCTGACGTCATAGGTCGAGTAAGTTGCGCTTCAGGTGTAAGTGGATAAATATGGTCAGCTTTCTTCAGAAGGCCTTTATTAACCCACCGGAGCCTTTATTAACCCTTTGGAGGACTTTATGATGGATTTTATCGGTTTTATGATGGATGGATGAACTTTTATGATGGACAGATGCACTTTTATGATGGACGGACGGATGCACTTTTATGATGGACAGATGCACTTTTATGATGGCTAGATGCACTTTTATGATGGATAGATGCACTTTTATGATGGCTAGATGCACTTTTATGATGGACAGATGCACTTTTATCATGGCTAGATGCACTTTTATGATGGATAGATGCACTTTTATGATGGACAGATGCACTTTTATGATGGACAGATGCACTTTTATGATGGACAGATGCACTTTTATGATGGACAGATGCACTTTTATGATGGCTAGATGCACTTTTATGATGGATAGATGCACTTTTATGATGGCTAGATGCACTTTTATGATGGATAGATGCACTTTTATGATGGACAGATGCACTTTTATCATGGCTAGATTAGGGGTGTGCGATATGACGATTTTTAATCGTGGACGATTAAAATGTCTCCACGATCTGCTTTTGAAGAAATATCGTAGTATCGTGTTACATTGCATTCTATCAGTTCAGTTCTGGCGCCTCCGTCTCTCAACTGTACAACGCGACGTAGCCTACACATGATCACACGTTAATGAATAGGTACGGGACACTGCAATTCACAAAAGTTCATTATTTGCATAAGCCTTGCCGGTTAAACATTTAATTCACGCGCTGATGCGCTGTTCTAACGTGCGCTTTCCTGACCGCATAACCCCGACGCTCACATCCACTAGAAGCCTGTCAAACAGCACCTGAATACTGGACTAAGTTATATCTCGAGTCTTATTAAGCTAATACTGTTAAATACACACAATGTTTACATAAACAGGCTATGTCTAAAGTGAAAGCAAACATTTGAGAGAATATCTGGTGTAATATGCGTCTATATTAAACGCGTCGCGTGCTGGTCTAAAAGCAACAGGAATAAATAGTAGCCTACTGCCGCTTGTCCTTAAAGGGATAGTTCACAAAAAAAAAAAAAAAAAATCCGTCATTATTTACTCACTCTAATGTTGTTCCAAACCTGTATTAATTTCTTTCTTGTGCTTAACACAAAAGACATTTTTTTTAATGTGGGTAACCAAAAAGTTGCTGGTCCCCATTAACTTCCAGGAGAGAACCTATAAAAAAACTATAAGGAGACCAGCAACTGTTCGGTTACCCACATTATTCAAAATAACTTTTATTTTCAACAGAAGAAAGAAACTTATTCGGGTTTAAAACATCTTGAGAGAGTAAATTAAGACAATTTTCATTTTTGAGGGAACTATCCCTGTAGTGTTAATAAAACAAAAAAAACACAAGGAGAAAATCACTCACTGACTGAGAACTTTAATATATCTTTAATAAGAATCAATTTATTCAGTGAAGTCTATGTAGTGTTTTAATTTCATATTTGTTCGTTTAATTACTTCAATGCTACTGCTAAATACACCTACTGCATCTGAAAAAATAAAGCACTATTTATTTAATATGAATATTAATTTGTGTAATGTTTATCTTGTCTTATTTTTTTAATAACAAAGTAAATAATGACAAAGATTTTGTATCTTCGCCACTGGCCTAAATGTGTGGCTTTCTTTTTTTCTTTTGTTACCTAAGCTTTGTTTTTAACATTGGGACATTAGTTTGGCTGTAATGAACAGCCACTTGCAAAATATTAAAACCAACTTGAAAAAGAATCGTGATAAAAAATCGTGATCGTGATTTTCCTAAAAAAATCGTGATATGATATTTTTTCCATATCGCCCACCCCTAGGCTAGATGCACTTTTATGATGGACAGATGCACTTTTATGATGGACAGATGCACTTTTATGATGGATAGATGCACTTTTATGATGGATAGATGCACTTTTATGATGGCTAGATGCACTTTTATGATGGATAGATGCACTTTTATGATGGATAGATGCACTTTTATGATGGATAGATGCACTTTTATGATGGACAGATGCACTTTTATGATGGATAGATGCACTTTTATGATGGATAGATGCTCTTTTATGATGGCTAGATGCACTTTTATGATGGATAGATGCACTTTTATGATGGATAGATGCACTTTTATGATGGCTAGATGCACTTTTATGATGGATAGATGCACTTTTATGATGGACAGATGCACTTTTATGATGGACAGATGCACTTTTATGATGGATAGATGCACTTTTATGATGCTAGATGCACTTTTATCATGGATAGATGCACTTTTATGATGGCTAGATGCACTTTTATGATGGACAGATGCACTTTTATGATGGATAGATGAACTTTAATGGACTTCAAAACAGAAACGGCCATTCACTGCCATTATAAAGCTTGGAAGAACCAGGACTTTTTTTTTATATTACTTTCGATTGTATTCATCTGGAAAAACAATGTCATATACACCTAGCATGACTTGAGGGTGAGTAAATCGTGGGCTAATTGTAATTTTTGGGTGAACTATCCCTTTAAAGAGGCTCCAGTGCTGTTATTGTTGTGCTCATTCTCTCTCATGATCTCTCCTCTCCTGAAGAACCGTCTGGTGCGTCTGGTCTGTGTCTTCCTCCAGTCCCTCATCAGGAATAAGATCATCAATGTTCAGGATCTGTTCATCGAGGTCCAGGCGTTCTGCATCGAGTTCAGTCGTATCCGTGAGGCCGCGGGCCTGTTTCGCCTCCTCAAGACCCTTGATAACGGAGAGATGCCCGCCGAGGGCAAGATGCCCAAATGATGACGAGCACATGAACTCCAGGACTAAAGCTGAGTCTCTCTATGAAAGCCTTTCAGTTCACAGCATACGAACTTCCTCGTGTTTTCTGTTCCCACATGTACAACACGTTCAACCTTTCTTTTGATCCTGTTGCCGTTTTTGTTTTTTGTTTTTTTCGTCCATTAAAGCGGTGGTTACTTACACGTTCTTAGACGACGTTCTTCATTGTGTGTTGCGACTCCTCGGCTTCATTAACTATAATAAGTTCAGTTTTGCTGAATTTGAAGTGGTTTTATGATCATTATTTTGACCACAAACAAATTATCTCCACCACAAACACGATGATGATAAAGATAATGATAATGCTGAGTGGAATGTGATCGTTTGGGTAACACACAAAAGCCTTCATATATAATGCATTATATAAGTCATTTAATTGTGCACCTTATAATGCATTGTATGATCTCATGAATAATTGTAACCACAGTTATAATACTCATCTATTCATTGATACACCTTTAGAAAGTATAATAAAACGAACTACCAACTTCGGAAATATTATACAACATCTAACTTGAAAATATATAAAGCATTGCAAGGAACATTATGCATATCTTTAATAATACATTATACATAAAGGCTTTAATGATGTATGTTCTCTCAACACAAATTAAAATAGAAATGTTTAAGTTAACAATGGCAGTGTATTTCAGACGGATCATTTTTAAAGCTTCCATGCATTGCAATAAAACAGGTCAAATTTAATTTCTATATCTTTTACATCACACGTTGTTCTGAATCAGCCTGACAAAGTCATATTGTTAATGTTTATAATATTGTAATTGAGATGGATGACAGGATTTTCTATATTTGAGGACGATATAAATCAACCAGATAACTTATAAGTGTTATTAATCTTTTTTTTTTTTTTCTCAGTGTGTAATCTGATGTAGTCAGATTTCAAAAATGAGTTGTAATTAGAAAATATTACACTTTAAAATGCCCATATGTAGACTACAGGTACTTTTCTATTGATTAAAGATGCATTGCTCATTGCTAGCTAATGGGACCTTATTGTAAACTGTTACTTAATAGTATATTACTCTATTTGAGTGTACTACTGTATGTATGCGAGTAAAGCTGGATTAACATCATTGTTCTCATCTGAAATGAGTTTTATTATCAGATTATGAAATGTGAAACAATCACTCAAGTTACAAAACTTCGTTTTTATTTGCAGAGTGACACTTGAACATGTACATTTGATTCAGATCTATGAGTCTGAACGTGTGTTTGCTGTCATTTATAGCCTGAAGTACCTGAACATTTAAAAAGAGCAAAACTGGCCTCTCTTTGTTTCACCACATACGCACACAGTGCCCAAACAGACGTGACCTTTGACCTTCTTCACACGGCTTTAGGCCCGTTTATCAACAGGCAAATCATACAGATTCCTGGGCAACTTTTGCATTAATAGATGTATTCAATTAGAGTGTTTTTTCATATTCTCTATTTTCCGGTGCATTCTTGAATCAATATGCATTATGTCACATGTTAAGATGTAAAGTCTTAATCAAATTAAGTGAGTTTTAAAAAGAGTTTGACCTGAAACGGAAAATATTTTTGGTTGCCAAAATTTCGGTGCATCAATAATAAAGGCCTAGTTATGACAAGAAAATCATGCTTTTGTAAATCATAATTAGCCTGTGACATAAAAAGTTGAAATTCGGACATTATGACATGTCAAAATTTGATATAAGAATGTTTAGATATTTTTTACAGTGCATGAAACAGGAACCCAATAGTTGAACAACTATAAAAGGCACATGAAGGAAATGTAAAAGGCGTAGGCGTATAATCCCAGTTCTAGATTCGTCTCATTCCCCGAGCCATGAGGCAAGCGAACACCGTCATCACCATCTTCGGCTTCACCTCCACCAGATCCTCCGGCAGCGCGTACACACGGGCTCCGATCTTCCTCGCCATAGAAATCGCATACCTTAAAAACACAAGTCAAGTCAGCGTTATTGTGTGTTTGTTTATTTCAACAGGGACAGTGTGTGCAAAAACATGAATTAAAGATGCATTTGTTCATTTTGATGAACGAGTTCGAACAGGAGTCACGAACGCGACCATTTGACCTTATAAAACTTAAACTTTGATATTTATTTATTAAATGAGCGATCGTTTCGCTTGATAAGACCCTTATTCATCGTCTGGAATCGTTTAAAGCCTTTTGTCTTTTGGACCCCATTGAAGTCCATTATATGGAGAAAAATCCTGGAATGTTTTCATCAAAAACCTTAATTTCTTTTCCACTGAAGAAAGAAAGACGTGGACAACTTGGATGACATGGGGGCGAGTAAATATTAAATTTTTTAAAGTGAACTACTCCTTTAAGCTAGTTTCCATCTGTAGTCCCTGAGCAGGTGAATTGCAATACAAAATACACAATATAAAATATAATTAGTCACTCAAATACAACCATTCCCCATTACAACCATCAGTCCAAAATTACTACAATAAAACATCACTAAAAGTCACATTTACACACATGATTTACACAGTGCTTTTTACTTTCAGTCAAAAAGGTACAAAAGCTGTCACTGGGGCGGTACCTTTTCCTGAAAGGCGCATCTTTGTACCTAAAGAGTGAATATTAGTCTCTCAAAGGTACATTTTGGGATCAAAAGTGTAAATTTTAGTGCCTAAATGGTACATATTAGAAGCTTTTTGAAGGTTACCGCCCCAGTGACAGCTTTTGTACCTTTTTGTCTGAGAGTAAAAAGTGCTGTGTAAATCATGTGTATGTAAATATGACTTTTATTTTGGAATTTTTAAGCAGCTTAGAGATAATGCAAAAAGTGTGTTTCTGCTGTACAGATCTAGAAGAAAATAGCGTCATAGTTCAGCTTCAGTAAGCTCAGTGATGGTTCATTTTTGTTGTAAAGTTTAGTTCATTTATATAAAAAATATGATTATAGCCCAGTGTGATGTCATCCGTTCAGTTCATCCAGTTCAGTTCTCATATAATATTAAATATCCCTGTTTTTTTTAGTTGCGGAATAAAAAACGAACAAAAATCCTTGTTAAAACGCGTCCAGTTCTGCTCTGGGTGATCATGAGTCGGTCAGCATTACAGGTCAGAAAGAGAAAAGTTGACTTTGTTTGTTTGGGGCTCATTGAATATTCATGAATATGCTAATGAGGGGTGTGGTGGTGTCGTACTTGGCGTTGTTGAGTTTCTCTTCATCGGTCAGGTCTTCTGTCTTGAGGAGGTCGTAGCGGATGGAGCCGGGCTGGATGGCGTCAATCAGGTCCAGGACCGGCATACTGGTGCAGATGGACCCGTCCTAGAGGAGCACAACACATGAAGAGGTGAGTGTGTGTGTGTGTACGGCTGTCAAACGATTAATCGTGATTAATCACATCCAAAATAAAAGTTTGTGTTTACATCATATATGTGGGTGCACTGTTTATAAATATTGTGCATACACATGCTTGTATGTTTAAGAAAATATGTAAAATATTTATATATAAATCTATATACAGTATATACATGAAAATAATTCCTAAATACATACAAAAATGTGTCTGTCTTTATATATATTTATAAAATAATTATACACAGTGTACCCGCATATATTATGTAAACACAGACTTTTATTTTGTAGGTGATTGATGATTTAATGAGAGAGTGTGTTCTGCTTACTTTAAAGCCGGTGATGGTGCCTTTTCCGGCTTGTTTGAGCGCGTCGTTCACCCAGGTCACGATGGTGTCGTCGTTCACCTTCTGCCCGTCGCCCAGATCCTCCAGGATGTTCAGTGTGTACCTGCAGAGAGACGAGCGATGAGGTGTGTACCTGCAGACGGACGAGTGATGAGGTGTGTGTGTGTGTGTGTGTGTGTACCTCCTCATGAGCTGCCAGAGTAGCGCGAGTGTGAGAGTTCGATTGCCCTCATGCAGATCCTGTCCAGCGATTCCCACCAGAGAGAACTTGGCCTCCTTCTTCCCCAACTCCACTGCGTAGTTGCAGTTCTCCAGCTGTGTGTCACACACCCCACACACATTAAAATGATATATCAGTATTAGCTTTAATATTTTATTATATTTATAATCAGTGTTGGGTGTAATTGGCTGTAATTTATTTAGTTTTCCCTTGAAAATGTAAAGTAAGGGATTATTCTTCATTTATCTGTAATTTAATTACAGTTACTTCTGATGTAATTGAGGTAAATACTGTGTATGGATCAATCCGATGTCACAGCGATTCGTATGCATTTTATGAGGTCTCTAAATCAGATTTGTATGAATTATTGTAAAATATGTATGAAAAAAAGTGTTAAATGTCATGAGATCAGACATAAAACAATAGTGGGTTTAACATCAAAATTTGTTGTCTGATGTTAAAAAGTATGTTTTTATAATATAACCTTCTCCTTGGTCAGTTTAAGGATAATTCATGCAATTTTATAGTATTTATTTGAAAGAATTAAAACAGGTTCATGTCTATCCTTGTATTATTCAGCTGGTTGAGATTGATATGGGATTTTGAAATTAATTAGTAATTAAATACTTTTTAGAGAGAGTAATTAGTACAGTAATCTAGGTAATTAATTACTTTTTTAGAGTAACTTACCCAAACCTGTTTATAATATTAGCTATTATGTTCAATTAATTTTTAGTAAAAAGTACTAATTTTTTAAACTTACTAAACAAAAAACTTACAAAAATTTACTAAACTAATTTTTAGTTCTTAAATGCTTTTGTCATTTTTATTCGTTTTTTATTACTAATATTACATTTTTTATTTTATTTCCATTTAGATTTTTTAGTGCGTCACCAAAGAGATTGATGTGTGGCTGTATGAGAGAATGAGTGTGTGTGTGTGTGAGAGAGAGAGAGACTGGCAAAATGTGAATTGCTTTAGTGGGTTTAAAACGATGAATTCTAGATGATGCACGAGTTGTGACGTGACGTAAGCAATTCTGCTGTGAATGATAATTAATGAATTTGCAAAATAATTCTTAATTTCTGTGCTTTATATCAGTTATACTATTGCATTATGTATGAAAGACAACAGACTTAAATCTAAAACGTTATTAATTATGGTTATTAATGCATTAATGCATAAATAAGTGATATAATTTAAAATGAAATAAAATAAAAAATATAATAAATTATTTTTTTATTCATAAGATAATGTAAATAAATGCATAAAATATTTTTTAAAAAGAACAAAATATACTTTCTGACTTAAATGTGGTAGTAAGGAATGCTGAGCCCTGCGTGAGGAGTGTGTATGCGCACCTTCTTCATGTTGCTGCCCAGTTTGGGATACGGTGGTTTGTTCACTCTGTCCCAGTCCACAGGAACCTTGATCTTCTCATACAGCTGGAAGATCACCAGCGCATCCGCCAGATCCCTACAAGAAGAGGACCTCAGTGAGAACATGAGAACACACACACCACACACACACACGTTCAGGTCCCAGTGGAGGAGGGTTAAAGGGATCCTTCACCCAAAATTCATACAGGTTTGGAACCACTTAATGGGTGAGTAAATGATGACAGAATTTTGTTATTTTTGGGTGAACTGTCCCTTTAAATGGCTTCGGCTGTGTTTGAGTGACGTACTCGCAAACTACTTCCTCAAACAGTTACCATTATATCAGATGATTATGTTTCAGACTATAGTTTACAGGACTACATCATGCACATCCAGACGTCATACTGGAAACAGAAATGGGGATTTTTGCATTTTAATTTATATATATAAATATATATAAAATAAAATATTATTTTGCTTTTATGTATAAAGTTTAGGTCATATATGTCTTCCATTAATAGAGAAAACTCACGGTATATACAGTAAAAGAATTAGTGATGCAACAAAAATATTTTTGAAAACAGATCTGTTTAATAATCAATTTATTTATCAAATTTAATTAATAATCATCACTCCAATAAAGTCGTACAAACATTTAAAATGGATATAAGGCAGTTTTAATATCAACTTTTAATGACATTATTATGTTTCTTCTTCAGTTTTTTTTTTTTTTTAATATAAACATTTAAATGGTTGTCTTCTTGGCAGATTTATTCAAACATCCATTAAATAATGAAGTCATCACTAAAACAGGTCAAAATATAATTAATATGTAATGCACGTAGTGCATATATTTATTAAAATACTGAAACACAATACTTTTTTTGGACAAATATTTTCAGTTGCTGAAATTTCGGTGCATCACTAATAAAGGCCGAGTTATGGAAGCCCACTTCCACCACAGACAAGAAATTATGCGATTGTAAACCATAATTAGGCTTAGACATTAAAATGTCAAAATTATGACATAAAAAGATGAAAGTCTGTCATAAAATGTCAAAACTTTGACATACTAAGTCAAAAGAGTAAAAATTATGTAGTAAAAAGTTTAAGTTGATTTTGAGCCGAAATTCTGACATACTAAGTCATAATTATGGCAGATTTGAATTTCTGGCTTAATTAAGTCATAATTCTGATGTTAAAATTATAATATAAAACGTAAAATTTCGTTATAAACAAAGTTATAACAAAGTCAAAATTATGATGTAAAAAGTTGAAATTCTGACACAAAAGTCATGATTTTTTTTATCATAATTCTGTCTGTTTGTCATAATTGACTGTCAAAAATATCAAAATTATTATTACTTAGTATGTCATAATTATGAATTAGTATGTCATAATTTTGATAATTGTTTTCTTTTTTTTTATGTGAGGAAATGGGCTTCCAAATGTTTTAGTGGTTTAATAGCCACAATAGTTTTTTTTACAACTTTAGTAATAAATAACTAAAAAAATAGTTTTTTGTTATTTATTACCATTTCATGGTGTTGAATTCTGATGCGTGATTGAGGTCATACTCACACATAGAGATGATTGACTCGTGGATTAACGCCCAGTGAGTTCATCCAGTTTCTGAAGGTGCGTTCCTCTCTGGTCTCTCCTGACAGTGACAGAACATCTCGTTACTTCAACATTATCACTGTGCCTGCTCACTATTCACTGACTGTAATACATGTAATATAGACTTCAACAAAAGCCTCCATTTAATCGCATTAATGTGTAGTTCCACCTGTACGATTTACTTTCTTTCTACTGAACTCAAAAGAATAAGATTTTGAGGAATGCTGGGAATCAAACAGTTTCGGTTCCCATTGACTTCCATTCAAAACGTCCAGTTTTTAAAAACGTTTAGGGAACATTCCATTTCGCAAACATTAAAGAACGATACTTTTGAACGTTCTCTGAACATTCCGAAACTAGCAACATTTAAAAAATGGTGAACGTCCAACTGAAAGGTTTCAGGAAAAAAAAAAAAAAACATGTTAAAAGAATGTTTTTTCGTAACTTTGAGTGAACTTGTCTATCAGGTCTGGAACGACATGAGTATATGATGACAGAATGATGGCAGTTCAGATTCACACACCCTCGATCGAGCTCCAGTCGATGTCCTGGTTTTCTGGCTTCTTCAGAGCGGGATACTTGTTGAACAGATTGGCCACATAGGCCAGGTTGAGTTTGGGGTTTCCTCGCACCACGTCTGTGGCCGTGACGAACTGTCGGCACCCGAGCCGGTCGGCCTGTTCCAGCATGTTCTCGGCTCTCTTCAGGTCGTCTTTTTCCTGTCACAACACAAACCATGAGTGTTTGAGACTGTTCTCATGACATTGAGCTTTCTCATGACATCATAATGGTCCATATCTCAGTATGTATGTGCATATGAATGTGTGTATGGATGTGTTCTCACCCGTATGCCAGTCATGTCGATAGGGATGGCCGGGATGCCCTCGTCGTCTCCTTTGGGTGCCACCTGGTTCAGGATGTTGTAATAAGCCTTGGAGTCCTGCAGGATGACAGATGACGGTGAGGTTACATGCGTTCTGTTTGGCCATATTACATTCAGAGGAGAGCTTCATTTACATTTTAGGTGTCAAACGGATTTAGATAATCAGAACGTGAAGTAGATGAGGAAATCTGTCATGATAAGCTTTGATGTTGGCTTGAGAAAGCCTGTCATGGATGGATTGGTAAATGGATTGGTAGATAGATGGATGGATTGTATGGATGGATGGATTGGATGGATGGATGATTAGATGGATGGATGGGTGGATGGATGGATTGGTGGATGGATGGATGGATGATGGATGGTTAGATGGATGGATGGGTGGATGGATGGATTGGATGGATGGATTGGTGGATGGATGATGGATGGGTGGATGGATGGATTGGATGGATGGATGGATGGATGATTAGATGGATGGATGGATGGATTGGTAGATGGATGAATGGATTGTATGGATGGTTAGATGGATGTATTGGTGGATGGATGGATGGATGGATGGTTAGGTGGATGGATTGGTGGATGGATGGATGGATGATTTGATGGATGTATTGGTGGATGGATGGATGGATGGATGGGTGGATGGATGGATGGTTGGGTGGATGGATTGGTGGATGGATGGATGGATGGATGGATGGATGGATGATTTGATGGATGGATGGGTGGATGGATGGATGGATGGTTAGGTGGATGGGTGGATGGATGGATGGATGGGTGGGTGGGTGGATGGATGGGTGGATGGATGGATGGATGGATGGATGGATGGATGGATTGATGGATGGATGGTTAGGTGGATGGATGGATGGTTAGGTGGATGGATTGGTGGATGGGTGGATGGATGGATGGATGGATGGATGGATGGGTGGATGGATGGATGGGTGGATGGATGGATGGGTGGATGGATGGATGGATGGATGGATGGATGGATGGATGGTTAGGTGGATGGATGGATGGTTAGGTGGATGGATTGGTGGATGGGTGGATGGATGGATGGATGGATGGATGGGTGGATGGATGGATGGGTGGATGGATGGATGGATGGATGGATGGATGGATGGTTAGGTGGATGGATGGATGGTTAGGTGGATGGATTGGTGGATGGGTGGATGGATGGATGGATGGATGGATGGATGGATGGATGGATGGATGGTTAGGTGGATGGATTGGTGGATGGATGGATGGATGATTTGATGGATGGGTGGATGGATGGATGGATGGTTAGGTGGATGGATGGATGGTTAGGTGGATGGATTGGTGGATGGATGGATGGATGGATGGATGGATGGTTAGGTGGATGGATTGGTGGATGGATGGATGGATGGATGATTTGATGGATGGGTGGATGGATGGATGGATGGTTAGGTGGATGGATGGATGGTTAGGTGGATGGATTGGTGGATGGATGGATGGATGGATGGATGGATGGATGATTTGATGGATGGATGGGTGGATGGATGGATGGATGATTTGATGGATGGGTGGATGGATGGATGGATGGATGGTTAGGTGGATGGATTGGTGGATGGATGGGTGGATGGATGGATGGATTGATGGATGGATGGTTAGGTGGATGGATGGTGGATGGATGGATGGATGGATGGATGATTTGATGGATGGATGGTTAGGTGGATGGATGGATGGATGGATGGGTGGATGGATGGATGGATTGATGGATGGATGGTTAGGTGGATGGATTGGTGGATGGATGGATGGATGGATGGATGGATGGATGGATGATTTGATGGGTGGATGGATTGATGAGTGGATGGTGGGTGGATTGGTGGATGGATGGATTGGTGGATGTGTGTGTTCTACTGTACCTTGATATCGGAGCTGAAGTTGTTGATTTTGGGCGCTCCGGCCTCCTCCAGGTGATAGTTGACCCAGCGCAGCAGCAGCTCCTCAGGAGACAGTTTAACCAGATCCTCCAAACTCTCTCCATCCCTGAGCAGTGCGATCAGAGCTACACACACACACACACACACACACACAATCATGTGACTCGACGGAGAAACATACAGGACAGTGTAGACACAGCAAACACAGAACGTTCCCTAATGTTAGTATTTGGTTTGTATTTAGTTGATTTTTTTCAGCCAATTATAATACTGTATTTTTTTACAACTATAAAATGATTTAAAATAATGTCTCTGTAAAGAAAACGTTTCATGGCAAAAAAAAAAGGACAAATTTATGATTTTAGGAAAAATTGAGAACATCCTGGGAACCAAAAACTAACATTCCCGAAACTTCCTGGAAAAGTGTAAGTTGGACAAACAAGCTGTTGCACACACCAGCTTGTGTGTGTGTGTGTGATGGGTAGGTTTAGTGTAAGGAGACAGAATGTACTGTTTGGAGAGTATAAAACCATTACGTCTATGGAGAGTCCCCACAAAGATAGCGAACCAGGTGTGTGTGTGTGTGTAATTAGTGTCTACCTTCGTTCCTACTAATTTCGATGTCGGCGAACAGGCCGATTTTGATGACTTGCCACAGCAGTCCCAGCACTAAATGCTGCCTGCCCTCCTTCAGGTCCTCTGCTCCGATGTTCACCACATGGCAGCCGATAGCAGAGGCCGAGTTCAGCGCGAGGTTCAGGTTCTCCTGCACATTTAAACAAGAACACACACATTAAAATCCCATCACAACAGTGTATGATCAGAAGTGAGTGTGTGTGTGTGTGTGTGTGTGTTTGACCTGGATCGTGAAGGGTGTGAGCTTCTTCTTGTTGATGGTTCTCTCGTCGATCGTGTCCGGCACAGACAGGTTGATCATTTTACTGCAAACAGTCATATTTATCATATTTCTGAAATATTGAACTGTATATTGAAAATACGTTTTACTACAGGAAACCAAACATTCCATTTTACAAACTTTATTTGAATGATACATTTGAACGTTCTATCAACATTCCGAAACAAGTAACATTTAAAAAAGTTCTAAAAAGTACTTAAAGTCACCCTGTGATCAAAATCCAGATTTTAATCCTGTTTATGTGTGTATGTGGTGTTTTTAATCGTGTGTAAGTTGATAAGTGGACAGCATTGCTGAGTATATCCTCCTTAAAACTGCAGTGAACCAAAGACAGTCTCAAAAACACGCTTTGGTGTTTCTGACGTCACAAACCACCTTGTGATCGTCAACCAGTGGATCTCTGAGTGAGGGAGTGAGTGGAGGCGGGGCTCATTTGCATATTAATAGAACCGCGCATACTAAATGAGGCGAGGGTGTCGAGTTACATTCAAGATATTTTAAGATATGAAGTTTTTATTCACAGGAAACGCAATGTAATGTTGGTGATCAGAGTGTGTGTGCAGGTACCAGAGTACGATGCCGTCTCCCACTGCGGTGAACAGGTCGTCGGAACTGGGATCCATGGGAAGAACGTGCTGGCAGTCCGGATCTTTCTCCAAGGCTTTATTGACCCAGTTCACAAAAGCCACTTTCTCCTCCTCTACACACACACACACACACACACACAGCATCACCATTATCAAATCAATCTAGCATGTATCGCTGTTAATAAAGTGTGTTTTTGTCATTTCTGCAGCCTAGTGTCCGTGTCGGATGTGTTTTTCCTCACCGGAGTACGAGTGCTGTGTCCCGGATTGTTCCGATGTTCCCGCCACTGAACAGATTCCCTCCTTCTTATTAATGGCTTTCCGGAAGGTCTTGGCCACTTCTGAGCTCTTCAGATCATGAACAACCTGACACACACACACACACACGTATTTAGTGCAAGTCATCAAAATCGGCCTGTTCGTCGACATTGAAATTAGTAGGAACGAACGTAGGTACACAATAATCCCACACACACTTCTTTCTTTAATTGCTAATGGACCTTTTTACACACAGACTGAACAACATATCCACTGATTTAATAACTCTGAGTTCTGCTTTTCTAAACTATAGCGAATAAACTGATAATGTGAGAATATGTGTCTGAATTAGGTTTGGTTTGACTGGATATTATAGTACAAGTCACACTCGCTTTTGCTAAATTAATAAATGCAAATATTATTTAAGGGTCCTTTGAGTCAAAAACATTTAATTTAGCATTTTCTCCCCCCTCGTGATAGAGCGTGACCTTTGACCTGACCTTGGCGAACTCATCGAAGGTGATCTTCCCGTCCTGGTTGAGGTCCATGGTCCTGCTGAGCTCCTGGACGATCTCTCGGATACGGTATCCCGGCAGAGGAAGGTTTGCGGCTCGGAAAAGGTCGTTCAGCTCGTCTGTGCTGATGTAACCGTTACCGTCCACATCTGCAAGCAAAGGTCAAAGGTCAGTCCCACTGCCTCAGTAGCATAACAGAGAATGTACAGCATGACCGGTGCGCTCCGAATCACGAATGAATGGATTCTTTTAATGAACCACTCAAAAGTATCTTGAATCAGTGTTGTTTAAGTATTATTTATATTCTATTTTAGTATTTTTAATTAGCTTTTATGTTTATATTTTCGATTAATCGCATCCAAAATAAAAGAAATATTTAAGAAATATTTGCATGAATATATCCTGTATATATATTTATATTGAATAGAAATATAAATATTTTAAATAGAAATAACACATTTTTCTTAAATGTGTATATGCATGCGTGTTTATTTATGCAATATTTATTTATTATGCAAACACAAACTTTTATTCTGGATGCGATTCGTCACGATTAATCGTTGCCCAGCACAAAATTTTTAGTTTTCATTTTTGTTTTAGTCGTTTTAACGTTTTCTTTTGTTTATTTAGCTTTCATTTATTATTTCAGTTTTAGTTATTTTACTACTTAAACTTATTTATTTCAGTTACTTGATGACCAGTGTAGGCCAGATCACTCCAATGAACTGATTCTTTAAAACTGAAACGCTCAAAAAGACTCAAATGCTGGTTTAAACAGGTTTGAATCAGTGTTATTTAAGCATTTTTATATAGTATGATAGCCATTTGAATGAGCTTTTATTTACATTTTTTCAGTCATCATTTTAATTTGAGTTTTTACTCAGTTTTAGTAACTGTAGTACTTAAACTTATTTCTTTCAGTTAGTTGCCAAGTTTTGTCATATTAAGATTTTAAATCTTAAAGGAGTAGTTCACTTTTAAAAAAAACTTTTGTTGATAATTTCCTCACCCCCATGTCATCCAAGATGTTCATGTCTTTCTTTCTTCAGTCGAAAAGAAATTAAGGTTTTTGATGAAAACATTCCAGGATTTTTCTCCATATAATGGACTTCAATGGGGTCCAAACGGTTTAAGGTCCAAATGAGAGTTTCAGTGCAAACTGCAAACTCTTCAAAGGGCTTTAAACGATTCCAGACCATGAATAAGGGACTTATCAAGTGAAACGATCACTCATTTAATAAATAAAAACAAAAGTTGAAGTTTTTTAAGCACAAATGCTCACCTTGCTCTGTTCTGTGATGCGCGTTCGTAACTCTCCTGTTCATCAAAATAAACGAATCTTTTTTCGAGTCATTTGGTTAATTCAGCGAATGAAATGACTCGAAAAAAGATTTGTTCATTTTGAAGAACGAGTTTGATTGGTGTCGTTTAAAGCCCTTTGAACAGTTTGGACTGAAATTGTTTTTTGAACCGTTTGGACCCCATTGAAGTCCATTATATAGAGAAAATCCTGAAAAGTTTTCATCAAAAACCTTAATTTCTGTTCAACTGAAGAAAGAAAGACATGGACATCTTGGATGACATGGGGCGAGTAAATTAGCAGCAAAATTATTTTTAAAAGTGAACTACTCCTTTAATTTCAATGAATAAAAATATTTTTTAATAGTTTTTTGGTTTTAGTTAACAATCACAACACTGGTTTAAGTCAGCCGAATAAACTGATTCTTTTCATGAATCATTCAAAAACTCTGGTTTGAAGCACTGTAATGAACTTATTATTTTCACAAATCGTTCAAAAGGTTTCAGTCCAATAAATATGAAAAAGAACTATTATTTTTGTTAACAAACTTGGGCGAATTATCTGTGGCCCTTAAAATTAGGCTATACTGCAAAGGATTATAAAGTAGCTGAGGAACCGGAAGTGTTTAGAGGAGTCAGATTTAAAAGGAACCGGAAGTGTGTGGACAGCTTTTACAAAAGCTTTTGTGTGTTCACTCGCCGACTTTGCTGAAGGCCTCTCTCAGCTCCTCCATGTCCTCCGCTGGGATGTGTTTTATGTCCGCCATCGTTCACTGATAGATAGATCACCTGTGAACGAGAGAGAGATTGTGTTTGTGTTTAGCAGCTGATACTTAAAACACACTCCGCTTGAACAATCAAACATCCCAAATGTTTTCAATATGTTTTTTTTATGTTCCATTTTGCAAACATTTTGAAAATGTTACGTTTGAATGTTGAATGAAAGAAGCAGTAACATTTAAATAATATTAGATAAATGTCTAACTAAACATTTCAGAAAAATCTAGGGGTGTAACGAGACCACCATGTCACCATATTATTGTGATAAGACATATGATATAATTTAAACTGCTGTACCGATGATTAAAATGCTAATTTTGATATTAAATGAATAGTCTTGGACTTGGTGCTGAAACCCAAAGCACAGACAATAGAGACACCAGAATAACAATATTCATGATTCTGAAGCTGAAAACACACAATTATTTTAGACAAATATGATTTCACTCTGACTAGATGTGTTTAAAATAATGTAAGACACTTTTTACAGGTAACATCAAACATTTGGCATTATCAGGACCCACAAATCCCCACAATGCATTATTATACATTATATTCAACGTTATATATAGTAGTTTAATGTAGTACTGACACTCTGAAAACTTCACGAAAAACAAAATATATCACGATCCATGATACATATTGTTGCATTTTTGTATTGCGATTTAGAAAAAAAACATTCCGTGGCCAATGCATAAATAATGTTTTTGTGCTAACGTTTTGAGGAAATTATTTCAGATCAGAAATCGCTCATAGCTTTGAGAAGAACATTAGCTGTTTCTTTATCAGTTTGTCCTTCTAAACATGCCATCCAGAGGCTTGAGCAAGACCTTTCACACCGGAAGTGGCTGTTGCTTCGGCTTTTGAGTAACAGCATGTGGTTTGAGGAGACGACATTACAAATATAGCTTAGCAGAGCATAATTATATCACATAATGAGAAATATACATGGTTACAGTGTGTATTGCAACCTGGAGCAATAACAGTCAACTTTACAGTAGGTTTACTGTAATATATAGTGATGAAAGTGTTGAAAAGTGTTAATTCTAGGGGTGTAACAATACATTGTGTCACAATATAGCGCAATACAAACATGCAGCAATATATGTATATATATATATATATATATATGTATATACTGTATATATGTATATATATATATATATATATATATATATATATGAAGAGTTCAGATGCAAAAGCCTCTAAATGCCATTTGAAATTTTCTTCTTTAATGATGATTTTTTTTTTTTTTTTTTTTTTTTTTTATTGACATTGCAAGACGTAAAATACACTTTTGGTCATATTGTACAACACATTTGTCCTTGTCCTACATCATCATTTTTTCCAAAACGAAACAGAAAATCAATAATAAAATATAAGAAAATAAAAAATAAATAAATAAATAAAATAAAAATAAAAACATGGTAGCAAGAACAAAAACAGGGGAGTGCCTCAGGTATTATGAATCAGATAAAGTCTGATCTTATTGTTTGAATAAATTTCAAGAATCCTTTCCACAACCTCTTGAATTTATCCATTTCAAGTCTACAAGTGGAGGTCAGTTTCTCCATAACATATATATCATGCATCACATCAACCCAATTTTCCTTTCTTGGCGCTTCCACCTTTAGCCATTTCCTAGTAATTCCCTTTTTTCCTGCTAGTAACATGATTTTAAACATTTTCCAATTCAAATTCTTTTTACCTTGCATATTAAGTCTTCCCAAATAAAGAGTGTCAAAAGTGAAAGGTAGATTGATTTGTAAAATCTTGTCCATGCATTGTTTAAGTTCCATCCAATAATTCGCCATCGAAGGGCAACTCCAAAAAATATGAACATGGTTTGCACTCTTTTCCCCACACCCCTTTTAATGATGATTTTTATCAAGCTTGTATATTTAAGTTCAGTAATTTCACTTAAATGGCAATGATAATTACCTATTAATTGTTATTTAAGTGAAATTACTGAACATAAATATACAAGTTTGATAAAACTCATCATTTTTGAAGAAAATTTCAAATGGCATTTAGAGGCTTTTGCATCTGAACTCTTCATATATATATGTGTGTGTAATGTCTAATGTCACCTGTAAAAGTAGCTTACATTATTTTAAATGCATCTAGTAGTCAGAGTGAAATCATATTCGTCTAAAATAATTCTATTTCCAGCTTTAGATTCATGAATATTGTTATTTTGGTGTCTCTATTGTCTGTGCTTTGGGTTTCAGCACCAAGATTATGTAATATCAAAGTTAGCATTTTAATCTACAGTAAATGTTTTGACCTTTTATCATGTGTCTTGGAGTATCGTGAGTTCAGTATCGTGATATATATCGAATCGTGACACCCCTAGTTATGTTCTCGAAACATTCAAAACGTCCAGTTTATCTCGTTAGAACGTTCCATTTTTCAAACATTGTTACTTTTGAGTGTTCTCTGAACATTCCGAAACACGTGTAACATTTAAAAACTGTTTGATGAACGTCCGACTCTGAACAAACATCCTATTACCTTACAGGAAGAACATTTGCTCACTTTATATCTGCAGAGGACAGCCTATACTGAGACTTCTTCCTTCAAACAAAACTATAAAACACATTTAGCTGCATGTGTGGATAATGAAGCGAGGCTCGTTTGTGATTTCAATCCAGACGGATGCTTAACATCACTGCATTTAACATGCAAATCTTGCTCTTTTTAAAGTGATGTCTGTTCAGCTCAGTGGAATAATCAGATGCTGTCACACATTTGCATCTTCATGAAGTGCTTTTATCAGCATAAATCATCACGAGGATCATGTTTAGCTGGTAACACTTTACAAGACGGTTTCATTTGTTAACATAGCTAAAAATGGACAATATTTGATTACAATCTGTGCACTAACATGAATATAAACATGTTTATTAACTAACATTAAAAAATGCTCATTGGAAGTTCATGTTACTAGATTGACTTTATTGTTGTGTTAGCACTATTTGATGTGTTTTTGAGTAATAGTTATTTCAGTGTCGCTTCAAAATGTCTGCTTTCAGCCTTCACATGTGCTCTGGTCTTCCTCTTTCACATGTACATTCTGCTTTTGTTTCAGAAATAAAGATGATATAATGGATTGTGCTGCTGCTGCACGTCCCACTCTTTGCAAAGGTGTGAATGAAACTTTAAGGCTCGCCGTTCTGAGATGTAAGATATAGATGCCGTGTAACTTCATGCACTTGTTGCACAGCTGAACCACAGCTTCCTGTTTCTCTTAAACCGCAGAGCAAAGCTTCACTTCTGCTTCAGATTACATGAACACTCAAAAACCCCCAGTTTGCTTTATGGCAAACTGAAACTCTGAGAGGACGCTTAAAATCCGGAATTCAAACTTTTATACAAATTCCTGATTGTTTGTTTATTACCATTTCTGGTAATATCACATGCAATGAAAAAAAAAGCTAATTTATTAAATGAAATGGCAATGGCAAATGAGAACCAGATGTTTGGACTCGACTGTATTCCCCGCTAACATTCAAAAACATGTTGTTAACGTTCGCTTTAAATTATGAAAATGTCGTTTCTGAATGTTCTCTAGTTTCAAATGTTTTTTTGAATTCAAACATTATGGAATGTTACGTTTGAATGTTCTCTGAACATTCTAAAACAAGTAACATTTAAAAAAATGACACAGAAAGTTCCATAAACGATGTGTTTTTGAAAAGAGAATTACAGACCAGAGCACGTTCTACTAATGTTACTGGATGAACGTTTGTAAGGATTCTGCATTTTATTTCTGCTGTTGCATTAATATTCCATCAAATCTATGAAATGCATCACACGTGAAGATGAAGCACAAACGCAAATGGTCGGTACACATGGTCTGATCCGGATCTGTCAGACTCACATCAGTGATGGACTTTCACACAATATAGTGATGATGTGCATGTCTTACCTGCAGTGGACTTCAGGGTGGATCTGTGTCTGGTCACTTTCAGAGGTTCTGCTGCAACTCTATTCAAATGTGAGAGGAAGGAAGTGACATACACAGAGGCCTACACGACAGTGGAAACAGGAACACACACGCTCTTATGTCTTTATAAGGTAAAACGCTTGACATCTGCACACAGTAACAAATGTGATCGACATCTGACAGCATCGGTCACTGTTCTGAGCTTTAACAATGCTAAATTCAAGAATGTCACCACAAATTTTGGGTGTACAAAGAAGCATCCTCAGGAAGAAGTCGAATCTATTTTTGACTGAGTATAACATGATTATCAGTCCTGAGTGTCATTAGTAATGTGCCTTTTTTTCTTTCTTATGTGTTTTAATTGCAATTAGGGCATGAAAAACAAGATTTGAACTTTTTTTTTTTTTACACATTTTGAAAAAGAGATTTGCAGAAATCCACTTGAGTTGACTATGCATTTGGTTCTAGAGATTAAACATAATACAGGGATACAACAAAGCAATACTGTGTACTTAATAAACAAATGAATATAATTATATCAAATAATGCAAACACTAGAAAACATATGTAAAAAAAATATTAGTGCAAATCCAATTGAGTTTGTTCCTGTTCCACCAGCAGACGGAGAACTTCATACAAATTGAAAATACAATGGAAGTCAATGGGGTCCATCGACTGTTTGGTTACTGACATTCTTCAAAATATCTTATGTTGGTTTCGGCAGGGGGAAAATTTCAATTCATACAAGTTTGTACAACTTGAGAGGGTGAGTGAGTAAATAATGACAGAATTCTCATTTTTGGGAGAGCTATCCCTTTAATAACAAATGAAGATTTTAACAGGCCGATAAATATTTGCAATACTTATTGTTTAAGGGTTAAAAGCTCTCTGTTATGATTTGATTTACATTTTAAACTGGTTGACTTATGTAGGGTATGGATGATGCGCTCTGCTAATGTCTGTTTCCTGGAAGAAAAAAAAAATCTGGAAAAAAAGGTTAGCAACTTTTTTTTTTTTTTTTTGTTAGCTGGGAATATTTACTCACACCCAAACACTAGTCAAACAAACTAAAGTTATGATGTAAGGCGCTTGAAAACAGCATATGACGTCACACACGAAAAAAATGTCACAAGTGCCTTGTGAGCTGCGAGATTGACAGGTGGTTGCTAGGGCGGTTGCTAGAGACTCAGATCCTCAGCTGAACTCTGGTGAGTTTTCAGACGCGGGTTATTGCTGTTTTCATGGTTTGAAGTTTGCAGAAATATGTGAATTACGGACGAAATGAAACCGGTTTATATCGCTTATTTGATTCGATCGTTAGAAAATGTATTAAACGCGATCATTGAACGATCATAAACGAACGGTGTCTACGGTTTCGATTTATAGTGTGTCATTTGTAGTTTGATTCTCATATAACAATATTTATAATGAATAAATAGCATAAAGCTATGAGGTTATTTTCATGACGATTGATTTCTCTTTATTTGTTGCTCTGTATTTAACCCATAGGCTACTGCTGCAAAATAGTATTAATAAACCTGAAAAGGAATGCTTTTAGGATGTTTCTTCCTGTTTATTTTATTTATTTATTTTTTTGCGGTGAAATATGTCTCTTGCAGACTTAAAATCTCTATCGATGTTCTCATAAACCCTGATCAGAAAGAATCAATGTCTGAACACATGAAGCTGCTGAGAAGACCCCTGCCTCCTATAAAGACAGCACACTACAGCTCTGCGCATGCGCACACGACTGCAGGTGACGACTCATACACGCGGCATCATGTGACCTTTTTTTTTTTTTTTTTTTATTGACAAGAAGTAACATACAAAACTCTCGCAGGGGATAGAATGCACAAAAGTATTAACCAAGCAGAAAACAACAATAGAGAAAATAAATAAAATAAAAATAAAATCATGTGACCTTTCCCGCCAACAGGGAATGTTTTTAAATGTTACGGCTTGTTTTGGAATGTTCAAAATGAACGGTTCCATGACGTTTTCAAAATGATAAAACAGAATGTTGTCCCACATATGACATTGATTGTTTACAAAAAGTAAAACTAACCTTCTTTATAAACTTTTAATGCTGTGTGTTAAATTATTGATTTATTTGATTTATGCATTAATGTTTTTGTTCTTTATTACGTTAATAAATTATGAGATGTTTAATTAATGAGTAGTGTTTAAAAGCATCCCAGAATGCACCAGATGGGTGAGCAGAGCTATTATATACAATTAAAAATGTATTTAGGTCTAAATTAAAACTGTATTTGGATTTCACAGTTTTAATATAAACTAATAAACTTAATGTGATGCATATTTGTAAGTCATGCATACATTTATGTAACAGTCCTAAATATGTTTTATTGTTACAAAGCTTGGTTTATGTAAAACATGTAATTCAAATGGATGCAAATTTAAATACATAAATCTTACATTTATGCCTAAATAAGACAGATAAGAAGCTATTATTATTCCATCTCTATCATTTTTTTAGCACTGTACTATTATTATAACAATATGAATATGATGATGTCATCTCTGTGTTTTCAGACCATGAACGGAGCGAGTGTGTTTGCAGTCCGCAGATGAAACTTGAGGATTCTGCTTGTGTTTCCCGGGTCACATTACCCAGAATCCTCCGCGCTTTCCCCCATCAGCCTCAGCTCACACCTGTGGATCGCCGACCTCTTGACCTCTTCTGCCTCAATGACTTCTTGCAGGTCGGCTGGTCGGTGTGTGTGTGTGTGAGAGCGGGTCGCTGACCTCATGAGTCATGACCTCTTCTCTCTCTGACTCCTGCAGGTGTGCCGGTCAGGTCGCGGGTCTCGGGACGATCTGAGGAAGACGGTTCTGTCCCGCTGTAACTATGAGAAGCTTCTGCGTTTGTTCCTGTCGGAGCTGCACAGAGGCTGGCAGGGGGAAACAGCCAATCAGACGCTGAGCTGTGAGAGTTTGACCCCACCCACACGCAGGATCCCTCAGAGACAGATCATATGCGGTAATACACACATCGCAACACCATACTGGACTTTCAGTGGATAGATGTGTGTGTGTGTGTGTGTGTGTGTGTGTGTCTGTGTGTGTGTAGGGCCCATTTTCAGCCCAGGATTTTAATGCCCAAAACTACCCCATTTGTTTTTAACTCATGTTTCATAAACTCCCCAAACCTGTGTGTGTGTGTTCAGAGTTAGCAGCAATGGTTCAGTTGGAAGCACGAGCTCGAAACTCTTTCAGGAGTAAATCTGGAGTGTGTGGAGCATCAGTGGATCGGCTGCGGACTGAACACACACTTCATGAGCCGTACACAGGCAAGAACACACTCTTCAGAGTCACGTGATCCTGCAGAGCTGGTTCTGATATGCGGAGTTTGTCCTCTGTCCACAGCGCGTGTGGTCGTCCTGAACGCGGCGATCAGCAAACACTTCCAGGGCAGCCGCCGCTCTCGCTCCCCGTTCCGCTGCGCGGGGGACTGTGATGTCATCAGTGTGTCTGAGCTCAGCGTCCTGGACTGCATCACGCGCGGAGGAACCAGCCTCAGCTTCAAGGTGTGTGAGTGAGTGAGTGAGTGAGTGAGTGAGCGAGTGAGTGAGCGAGTGAGTGAGCGAGTGAGTGAGTGAGCGAGTGAGTGAGTGTGTAAGTGAGCGAGCGAGTGTGTGAGTGTGTGAGTGAGCGAGCCAGTGAGTGAGTGAGTGAGCGAGTGAGTGATTGTGTGAGTGTGTAAGTGAGCGAGCCAGTGAGTGAGTGAGCGAGCGAGTGAGTGTGTTAGTGAGTGTGTAAGTGAGCGAGCCAGTGAGTGAGTGAGTGAGAGTGAGTGAGTGAGCGAGTGAGTGAGTGTGTGTGTGTGTGTGAGTGAGCGAGCGAGTGAGTGAGTGAGTGTGTAAGTGAGCGAGCGAGTGAGTGAGTGAGTGTGTAAGTGAGCGAGCGAGTGTGTGAGTGAGTGTGTGTGTGAGTGAGTGAGCGAGCGAGTGAGTGTGTGAGTGAGTGAGTGAGTGAGTGAGCGAGTGAGTGTGTTAGTGAGTGTGTGAGCGAGCGAGTGTGTGAGTGAGTGAGTGAGTGAGTGAGCGAGCGAGCGAGTGAGTGAGTGAGTGTGTAAGTGAGTGAGCGAGTGAGTGAGTCAGTGAGTGAGCGAGCGAGTGAGTGTGTGAGTGAGTGAGTGAGTGAGTGTGTAAGTGAGCGAGCAAGTGTGTGTGTGAGTGAGTGAGTGAGCGAGCGAGTGAGTGTGTTAGTGAGTGTGTGAGTGAGTGAGTGAGTGAGCGAGCGAGCGAGTGAGTGAGTGAGTGTGTAAGTGAGTGAGCGAGTGTGTGAGTGAGTGAGTGAGTGTGTAAGTGAGCGAGCGAGTGTGTGAGTGAGTGAGCGAGCGAGTGAGTGTGTGAGTGAGTGAGCGAGCGAGTGTGTGAGTGAGTGAGCGAGCGAGTGAGTGAGTGAGTGAGTGTGTAAGTGAGCGAGCGAGTGTGTGAGTGAGTGAGTGAGCGAGTGAGTGAGTGAGTGTGTAAGTGAGCGAGCGAGTGAGTGAGTGTGTAAGTGAGCGAGCGAGTGTGTGAGTGAGTGAGTGAGTGAGTGAGCGAGTGAGTGAGTGAGCGAGCGAGTGAGTGTGTAAGTGAGCGAGCGAGTGTGTGAGTGAGTGAGTGAGCGAGCGAGTGAGTGAGTGTGTAAGTGAGCGAGCGAGTGAGTGAGTGTGTAAGTGAGCGAGCGAGTGTGTGTGAGAGTGAGTGAGTGAGCGAGTGAGTGTGTGAGTGTGTAAGTGAGCGAGCGAGTGAGTGAGCGAGCGAGTGTGTGAGTGAGTGAGCGAGCGAGCGAGTGAGTAAGTGAGTGTGTGAGTGAGTGTGTAAGTGAGCGAGCGAGTGAGTGTGAGTGTGTGAGTGAGTGAGTGAGTGAGTGTGTGTGTGAGTGAGTGTGTAAGTGAGCGAGCAAGTGTGTGTGAGTGTGTGTGTGAGTGAGTGAGTGAGTGTGTGAGCGAGCGAGTGTGTGAGTGAGTGAGTGAGTGAGCGAGCGAGCGAGTGAGTGAGTGAGTGTGTAAGTGAGTGAGCGAGTGTGTGAGTGAGTGAGTGAGTCAGTGAGTGAGTGTGTAAGTGAGCGAGCGAGTGTGTGAGTGAGTGAGCGAGCGAGTGAGTGAGTGAGTGAGTGTGTAAGTGAGCGAGCGAGTGTGTGAGTGAGTGAGTGAGCGAGTGAGTGAGTGAGTGTGTAAGTGAGCGAGCGAGTGAGTGAGTGTGTAAGTGAGCGAGTGAGTGAGTGAGTGAGTGAGTGAGCGAGCGAGTGAGTGTGTAAGTGAGCGAGCGAGTGTGTGAGTGAGTGAGTGAGCGAGCGAGTGAGTGAGTGTGTAAGTGAGCGAGCGAGTGAGTGAGTGAGTGTGTAAGTGAGCGAGCGAGTGTGTGTGAGAGTGAGTGAGTGAGTGAGCGAGTGAGTGTGTGAGTGTGTAAGTGAGCGAGCGAGTGAGTGAGCGAGCGAGTGTGTGAGTGAGTGAGCGAGCGAGCGAGTGAGTAAGTGAGTGTGTGAGTGAGTGTGTAAGTGAGCGAGCGAGTGAGTGTGAGTGTGTGAGTGAGTGAGTGAGTGAGTGTGTGTGTGAGTGAGTGTGTAAGTGAGCGAGCAAGTGTGTGTGAGTGTGTGTGTGAGTGAGTGAGTGAGTGAGTGTGTGAGCGAGCGAGTGTGTGAGTGAGTGAGTGAGTGAGCGAGCGAGCGAGTGAGTGAGTGAGTGTGTAAGTGAGTGAGCGAGTGTGTGAGTGAGTGAGTGAGTGAGCGAGCGAGCGAGTGAGTGAGTGAGTGTGTAAGTGAGCGAGCGAGTGTGTGAGTGAGTGAGCGAGCGAGTGAGTGAGTGAGTGAGTGTGTAAGTGAGCGAGCGAGTGTGTGAGTGAGTGAGTGAGCGAGTGAGTGAGTGAGTGTGTAAGTGAGCGAGCGAGTGAGTGAGTGTGTAAGTGAGCGAGCGAGTGAGTGAGTGAGTGAGTGAGTGAGTGAGCGAGTGAGTGAGTGAGTGAGTGAGCGAGCGAGTGAGTGTGTAAGTGAGCGAGCGAGTGTGTGAGTGAGTGAGTGAGCGAGCGAGTGAGTGAGTGTGTAAGTGAGCGAGCGAGTGAGTGAGTGAGTGTGTAAGTGAGCGAGCGAGTGTGTGTGAGAGTGAGTGAGTGAGTGAGCGAGCGAGTGTGTGAGTGAGTGAGCGAGCGAGTAAGTGAGTGTGTGAGTGAGTGTGTAAGTGAGCGAGCGAGTGAGTGTGAGTGTGTGAGTGAGTGAGTGAGTGAGCGAGCAAGTGTGTGTGAGTGTGTGTGTGAGTGAGTGAGTGAGTGAGTGAGTGTGTGTGTGAGTGAGTGTGTAAGTGAGCGAGCGAGTGAGTGTGTGAGTGAGCGAGCGAGTGAGTGTGTGAGTGAGTGTGCGAGTGAGTGTGTGAGTGAGTGTGTGAGTGAGTGTGTGAGTGAGCGAGCGAGTGAGTGTGTGAGTGAGTGTGTGAGTGAGTGTGTGAGTGAGTGTGTGAGTGAGTGTGCGAGTGAGTGTGTGAGTGAGTGTGTGAGTGAGTGTGTGAGTGAGTGTGTGAGTGAGTGTGTGAGTGAGTGAGTGTGTGAGTGAGTGTGTGAGTGAGTGTGTGAGTGAGTGTGTGAGTGAGTGTGTGAGTGAGCGAGCGAGTGAGTGTGTGAGTGAGTGTGCGAGTGAGTGTGTGAGTGAGTGTGTGAGTGAGTGTGTGAGTGAGCGAGCGAGTGAGTGAGTGAGATTGAGTGAGTGTGTGTGTCAGTGCAGAAATCATTTATGTCCGCTGTCAGTGTGAGACATTAATACTGAGATGCCAAATGCGTCTCGACACATCCGTCATGATGTGTGTGTGAGGTCAGTGACATCATCGCTCGCCTCTTAATGCAGTCTAAGGTCAGGCTTGAGTTCCTCTGTCCATGTAAAGACAGATTGTGTTCTCCTGTCTTCAGTCCTGTGGACAACACATCTCCTGCATCCACACAAAGAGCTTTATGTCTTTAGGAAATGAAACATTCGGATTAAAACAGGAAGAAGAGCATCTGCACTTCCCCTGTGCCTCAATTATTTTTATTTGCAGTTTAAGGAACTGTTTTTGGTCACATCTGTAATGGTATTTTGTTGACTGAAATGAGTTCTTGGGTTTATTTTTATTTATTTATTTATTTATGACAAGGACAGTGCATATTAACATGACAAATCAAAATATGCCAGAGTTAGCCAAAAGGCTAGTTTTCATCTGCAGTCCTAGGCCAGATGTACAATAGGCAACCTAAAAATACAATGTAAATACAACAAATATAATTAAAACATAACAAACCAAAACAACCACAAAAAACAACAACAACAACAACAAAAAACAATAGAATAAAAAAATCAATGTTGACATATTTGCATGCTAAAAAGCCACATTTAAAAAGCCACGTTCAATATTAGCTTCAGTTTATGAACGTAGATGAGATATAAGTATGAATATGTGCACACATTGTTTCCCAAAACTATTACCTTTAAACATAAATGGAAGAATTATCATTGATTACTCAAAGCATATACACTGATTAATCATTAATACTAAGAAATGTCGCTGTTTATTGAACACTGCTGTCAGTAAAAGCAATAATCCACGAGTGTATGTGTATTACTGTGATTTCACCGTGGTAAAGGGTTGTTCTCAGTACAATTTATAGCAATAATGAGAATAAATATTCTCAACGTCCCCCTGTAGTCAATAATTTGATCCCTTAAAACTCATATTTGATCATGAAAATGACATTAAATGACGTTCACTGCAGTTTTAAGGAGGAAATACTCGACTGATTGTGTTTTCCTGCAGGCTCACTTCATCTGTGATCTTCCTGACGTGACGTCACTGTCTGAGCGTCTCCAGTACCTGAACGTGTCCTTCAATGACCTCACACACGTCCCTCAGGAGGTGCCAGTTTACATTCGTTCTGTTTCCTGTCATGATTCAGATCATGATGTTTGACGTCCCTCGTCTTCCTCTTTCAGGTGTGTGATCTTCGTCAGCTGCAGGTGTTGAAGATGAGGAATAACCCCATCGAGGAGCTTCCCGCTCAAATCAGCAAACTCCACAAACTCCAGACGCTGGTCGTCTCCTTCTGCAAGATCACACAACTGCCCAACCAGTGAGACACACACACACTCACACACTAACACACACATGTCAGTGTGTATGTGGTGTTTGAACGAAGCGTTTTAGGAAGGCTTGGTTGAGCCTTTACTTTTATAAAGATTATCTTTAGGTTTGAAGGAGAAAAGGAAAACAAGAAATCGCATCACATGACCCCTTTAAAAGTTATCTTTTTTTATAGAAGTGAAAGCACTTAAAAACCGAAAGTTATATTTTACAATTTACGATTTTTATATCTGACCAAGTTGTATTCCCAACTTGAAGTCGCTAAAAGCTATCGCTATGTCTAAGTTCATAACGGTTTTCACAGGAGGAACTGTGAGTGTTTAAGATGATTATGATGATGAGTAGTAAAATATGTGATCAAGAAAAAATATGATGAATAAAGTGTGCCAAAATGACAGGCTAACAGGCTATATCTCCATTTTTTAATTTTACACAATTTTATTCTGCTACTTCTAATAATTGTTTAAATCTTCAGCAGACTCGTGTCAGGTGATCTGATGAAACTGAGCCGCTCAGTCATGGTGTTCTGCTGCTCTGCTTCACCTTATTCCTCTCTCTCTCTCTCTCTCTGCGTGTGTGTGTGTGTGTGTAGGCTGTTCTCTCTGGCCGGTCTGCGGCATCTGGACGTGTCCTATAACCTCCTCAGATCCCTCAGCGGTGACATCAGACACCTCAGGTCATCACGCATTATTAAACACTTCATACGCAATCATTGAGAACTATACTGATAAATATAACAGTTACTATAGCGATACTATAACGATAACTAATGAAAGCTATAGTGATAATTATAGTAATAAATGTAATAACTATTGCAACAACTAAATGTAACAATAACTATAGGCATAACTATAGTGATTAATATACCAATAAATGTAACGATAACTATAATGTTAACTAATAAAAGCTATAGTGATAGCTATGGTGATAAATGTGACATTAACTATAACGAAAACTGTAACTAGCGTTATATGTAACCATTACAATAAATTTAGCGACAACTATTTCAAATACTATAACGAAAACTGTGACTAGCGTTATATGTAACCATTACAATAACTTTAGCGACAACTATTTCAATAACTATAACGAAAACTGTAACTAGCGTTATATGTAACCATTACAATAACTTTAGCGACAACTATTTCAATAACTATAACGAAAACTGTAACTAGCGTTATATGTAACCATTACAATAACTTTAGCGACAACTATTTCAATAACTATAACGAAAACTGTAACTAGCGTTATATGTAACCATTACAATAACTTTAGCGACAACTATTTCAATAACTATAACGAAAACTGTAACTAGCGTTTTATGTAACCATTACAATAACTTTAGCGACAACTATTTCAATAACTATAACGAAAACTGTAACTAGCGTTATATGTAACCATTACAATAACTTTAGCGACAACTATTTCAATAACTATAACGAAAACTGTAACTAGCGTTAAATGTAACCATTACAATAAATTTAGCGACAACTATTTCAATAACTTTCACGAAAACTATAACTAGCGTTAAATGTAATGATAACCATTACAATAACTATAGCGACAACTATTTCAAATACTATAACGAAAACTGTAACTAGCGTTATATGTAACCATTACAATAACTATAGCGACAACTATTTCAATAACTATCACGAAAACTATAACTAGCGTTAAATGTAATGATAACCATTACAATAACTATAGCGACAACTATTTCAAATACTATAACGAAAACTGTAACTAGCGTTATATGTAACCATTACAATAACTTTAGCGATAACTATTTCAATAACTATAACGAAAACTACAACTAGCGTTAAATGTAATGATAACCATTACAATAACTATAGCGACAACTATTTTAAATACTATAACGAAAACTGTTACTAGCGTTAAATGTAACCATTACAATAACTTTAGCGACAACTATTTCAATAACTATAACGAAAACTGTAACTAGCGTTAATGTAACCATTACAATAACTATAGCGACAACTATTTCAATAACTATCACGAAAACTATAACTAGCGTTAAATGTAATGATAACCATTACAATAACTATAGCGACAACTATTTCAAATACTATAACGAAAACTGTAACTAGCGTTATATGTAACCATTACAATAACTTTAGCGATAACTATTTCAATAACTATAACGAAAACTATAACTAGTGTTAAATGTAATGATAACCATTACAATAACTATAGCGACAACTATTTTAAATACTATAACGAAAACTGTTACTAGCGTTAAATGTAACCATTACAATAACTTTAGCGACAACTATTTCAATAACTATAACGAAAACAATAACTAGCGTTAAATGTAATGATAACCATTACAATAACTATAGCGACAACTATTTCAAATACTATAACGAAATCTGTAACTAGCTTTAAATGTAACGATAACCATTACAATAACTATAGCGACAACTATTTCAAATACTATAATGAAATCTGTAACTAGCGGTAAATGTAATGATAACCATTACAATAACTATCACGACAACTATTTCAAATACTATAACGAAAACTGGAACTACCGTTAAATGTAACCATTACACTAACTTTAGCGACAACTATTTCAAATACTATAACGAAAACTATAACTAGCGTTAAATGTAATGATAACCATTACAATAACTATCGCGACAACTATTTCAAATACTATAACGAAAACTGTAACTAGCGTTAAATGTAACCATTACACCAACTTTAGCGACAACTATTTCAACAGCGATAGCTAAAGAAAATGATAGCTATAGTGATAAATGTAGCGATAATTATTGTAATAACTACAACAATAACTAACGAAAACTCTAGCTATACAGTAACTATAGTGATAAATGTAACAACTATTGCAATAAGTATTATGGGAACTATTAGAATAACAACACGGCAGATGATATCGCTCTGTTTATTATTAGCGTACGCTGAAGTTTTGTCGTCAGATTCTGATTGGATCTCAGCGTTTTTATCGTTCATCAGCAGGAAAATTAATCGCTCTAAAAGTCATTCCAACAATATTGTTTCTCTGTATATTTGTTGTATATACAGCAAATATTTGTTGTGTGAACTCTGTCACTTTAACAATTATTAAAACTTTATATTTATAGTTATCATTCTCAGTGTGAACCGACCGTAATAATATAATTGACATTGTGTGTGTGTGTGTGTGTGTGTGTTCAGGTCTCTAAGGTCTCTGAACGTTGAAGGGAATCAGTTAGCGGCTCTTCCCGCCGGTCTGCTGTGTGTGTGTGTGTCAGAGCTCAGGCTGTCTGGGAATTACACACACACGTTACTGTGGAGCGAGAACAGCTGCAACTCTCCACAGACGCTGCTGCACACGGCTGCACACACACTCGCACACACACACACTCTCACACACCTGCCGCCCGCCGCACAGCTCGTCCTGCGCAGGTAAAACACACACACACACACGGCCCTTCACTACATCATTTTAAACATTGAGTCATTTCAAATTCAAAACCAGTGGACATCACAAATATTACCTTTTTGATGAAATGAATCAATGAAATTGAATCATTCACACATTTCTCAGGCATAATTTACATTGATTTGTGATTTGCTGAATGTTTTTTCAAAACTGTATATATATGCATTCCAACCAGAATGACTAATCTAGACTGGTTGGTTCTAGTGAAGTAATAAACATGCTTGTGTGTGTGTGTGTTCTCAGAGCTGGTGTGTGTGAAGCTTGTTCAGGACCCATGTTCGGCCCGGGTCTGAAGCTCATCCGTCCCGTTCACGGTGTGTTTGGGCTTCAGTGTGTGCCGGTCATGTTCCTCTGCTGTTCTCCGGCGTGTCTCCACAGATTCAGGAATCACAACATCAGTGTTTGATCAGACACGTTTATTGCTTTACACTTCTCTAAAACACTTTCACACAAACATCAAATCCATGGGAAAAAACATGTCAAATACTTTCATTTTGATTATCTAGTGCTTTACCCTGAACATTGTTCCACAGCAACTTTACAGTTATTAGAAAAATAAACGAAATATGTTTTTGTATTTGCTCTGAAATTATTTCAAGAATATTTTTCTCAGAGGAAGCGTCATATCAATCAGTCGTTGAAAATTATATTTCAAATAATCAAGGCAAAAATCGAGTGAAATGCACCAATATAATAATACATAGCCATAAACGGCAGACTCTTTACCTTCATATATTAAAACATTCATGAAACGGACACAGTAAAATGTGAATGAACATGTTCACTGAATCAAAGTCACAAATCAATACATTTGAATGAATCAAACCCACTTTGACTCTAAAGTACTAAAGTTAGAGAAAGTTCATTCAAAACATCTAAACGCACACACACATGTGAATTAGCTGCAACGGTTTCCAACATTGATAATAATGACTGAGAAATGTGTCTTGAGCATCAGATCCTCATATTAGAGTGATTTCTGAAAGATCATGTGACACTGAAGACTGGAGAAAATACAGCTTTGATTGCAGGAATAAATGACACTTTACTGTATATTCACATGGAAAACAGATGATTTAAATCGAAAAGCATTCAGCACTGCCACTCTGAGCTCTATTGCTGATGTCTGAGTTAAAACACGCCCCCCTCATTAGCATACGGAGAAAGAAACGTCGGAAAAAATAAATGCGGAAATAATTAAATGTGGAAATAAATAAATGTGAAAATAATGAAATGTAGACCTAAAAACTAAAATACAAAAAAGAATGTATAAATAAATAAAAGTGGAAATAAATAAATGTTTAAATAAATAAAGAAATAAATGTGTGAATAAAACAATTATACATAAATTATACTCATTTATTTGTACTTTTTTTTAACATTTCTTCGTATATTTATTTATGTATTATTTGCTTTTTTACATTTCTTTGAATATTTATTTATTTATGTATTTATTTATTTTTTAATTAAGTCAGCTTTGGCATTCCATATCTGGACTATTACAAAGTAGATTATAAAGGTATATGTCAAATATAATGAATCTGTATTAGGCGTCTTTTTTCCTGTCTTTGGAATTTTGTAGTTACTTGCGCCTGTTTTTTTTTTTTTTTACGTTCTTAAATAAATAAATAAATAATAAATAAATCATACGACATTGATAAAAAATAAAATTAAACTACATTTCCCAGAGTTCCTCGGGTCGAACTGCTTCCGTGTTCTCAGCGCAGCTTCCGGCAGCTGTGAGTTGTCGAATCGTTTGTAGCTCAGCAGCAGCATTGATCTTCACCATAGTCATCTTCATCATGCGCTGGTTTGAAGGCTCAATCCCAGCGGCCATCGCGTCAGCTAAACAGCGCAAATCTGTGTTTGTGGTTGTGATCACAGGTAAGTTACCTGACTATCATATCATCTCCGTCACACACACACACACTGCTTCACTGTGTGTTTACCTATGGTTTTTACAGTATTATTCGATGACATATGATGAGGGGACACAGATGGATCCGGTTAATGTGTCAGATATGCGCTTGGTTTAACGTTAAATTAATCAGATATGCGCTTGTATTGACACGACGTGTCCGCATCAGCTGAGTCATTACTATAATATTTCATCATCATATCGACTTTTGTTTATCCAGTGCAGAGTGAGTTGATTTGTTTTCCAGTCAGAACCGGATAATTTCGTCAAACTGACTAAGACGGTCATATGATTTCAAGAGTGTGTATCTGTCTGTCATTCTGTCTATCCATCTGCCAGTCTGTCTGTCTGTCTGTCTATCTATCTATCTATCTATCTATCTATCTATCTATCTATCTATCTATCTGTCTGTCTGTCTGTCTGTCTGTCTGTCTGTCTGTCTGTCTGTCTGTCTGTCTGTCTGTCTGTCTGTCTGTCTATCTATCTATCTATCTATCTATCTATCTATCTATTTGTCTGTCTGTCTGTCTGTCTGTCTGTCTGTCTGTCTATCTATCGTCTATCTGTCTGTCTGTGTTATTCTATCTATCTATCTATCTATCTATCTATCTATCTATCTATCTATCTATCTATCTATCTATCTATCTATCTGTCTATCAATTCAATTCAATTCAATTCAAATTGCTTTATTGGCATGACTGTACATATTACAATATTGCCAAAGCTTGTAACACAAAGTATAGTAAAGACAGTAATAATAACAAAGTATTATAACAACTTAAATTAAAATGTACAACTTAAATTAATTGCAAAAAATAACAGTGTAACAGATTATAATTTCTATGAACGTTTGATACCACAGTGTTTAAACATATATATACACACACATACACGCATTACTAAGGGTCACTGTGGTGGACATTAGGGAAACACACTGAGGTCACACATTCACACACATTCACCTACTGTCTCTCAGGCTGTGGCACGCACACACGTATCTGGCAGCCAGTGCTGCGGTCTGTCCCTCTCCTAGTATTATCTTTATCTGCTCTACTTCAGTCATGGTTGTAAAGTTGTGTATTAAGTTATTAAGTTTTTTGAAGTAGAGGTCTCTGATCGAGCTGTATTTGTGGCAGTGGAGGAGGAAGTGTGTCTCTGTTTCGATCTCTCCTGTCCTACTCCTGTCTATCTATCTGTCTGTCTGTCTGTCTGTCTGTGTTTATCTATCTATCTATCTATCTATCTATCTATCTATCTATCTATCTATCTATCTATCTATCTATCTATCTATCTATCTATCTATCTATCTATCTATCTATCTATCTATCTGTCTGTCTGTCTGTCTGTCTATCTATCGTCTATCTGTCTGTCTGTGTTATTCTATATATCTATCTGTCTATCTTTCTGTCTGTGTTTATCTATCTATATGTCTATCTGTCTGTCTGTGTTATTCTGTCTGTCTATCTATCTATCTATCTATCTATCTATCTATCTATCTATCTATCTATCATCTATCTGTCTGTTTTTATCTATCTATCTATCTATCTATCTATCTATCTATCTATCTATCTATCTATCTATCTATCTATCTATCTATCTATCTATCTATCTATCTATCTATCTATCATCTATCTGTCTGTTTTTATCTATCTATCTATCTATCTATCTATCTATCTATCTATCTATCTATCTATCTATCTATCTATCTATCTATCTATCTATCTATCATCTATCTGTCTGTTTTTATCTATCTATCTATCTGTCTGTCTGTCTGTCTGTCTGTCTGTCTGTGTTATTCTGCCTGCCTGTCTGTATGTCTATCTATCTATGTGTCTATCTATGTATCTGTCTGTGTTATTCTATTTATCTATTCATCTATCTATCTATCCATCTATCTATCTATCCATCTATCTATCTATCTATCTATCTATCTATCTATCTATCTATCTATCTATCTATCTATCTATCTATCTATCTATCTATCTATCTATCTATCTATCTATCTATCTATCTATCTATCTATCTATCTATCTATCTATCTATCTATCTATATGTCTGTCTGTCTGTCTTTCTGTGGATGTCATTTAATCTGTCTCTCTCTCTCTGTCTGTCCGTCTGTTAGGGAGTGATGATCAGTCCTCTCAGCTGATCTCCAGTTGGGAGACGGAGAGTGTGTCGGATGCGGTGGAGAACTGCTGTGTGGCGATACGAGTGGACGCTCAGAGGTGAGTGAGACCGACACACACACACACACACACACACACACACACACACACACACACACACACACACACACACACATCAGATCAGTGGCTACATACATGCAACTAATTAATCCTTTAGTAACTGCGTGACGGCTCAGTCGGACTGAAAAGCCTTCATGTAAACCCTGGATTGAGTGGTTTATTCCAGTGGTTCTCAAAGTGGGGTCCGCGGACCCCTGGTGGTCCGCGAGCTAAAGCCAGGGGGTCCGCGAAATAATTTACAACCTAACGTTTTTTTCCATGCTATGAGTCATGTTTTCTTTATCATCTGAAAACATGCTGTTTATTCCTAAGTAACTTTGTCGGGATGTGGTTTCAACTACAGCCGCCTGATGTTAGAATGCCACACTGATTTGTTGTCAGAGGTCTAGTTGAATACCATTACCCTGAGTCGTTGCGTCAATTTATCTGCCGATAGGCCCGGGAAAGGATGGAATAACTGGAGTACCATGCAGGAAATCGTTGAAGGTGAATTTATTGAGGACAGCTGTCTCAGCACACGTGCTCCAAATCAAGTTCAAAAATAAACAAAAGAAATCATCAAAAAAATAATCAAAATAAACATTACAAAACATAAATAAAACATGCTGAAAGCAGCAAAAACATGGCATCAAATCCAGCCTCGAGGAACAAACCTCTGACAATCACGACACATCCTACAGCATTGGACTGTACTAGTACTGGCACATGGCCCGTCTCTCCCCACTCAATTAGCCTCACTCCTTTATATATGCTATTTTCCCGCCAAAACTAGTGGGTCATACCAACTGTAGGGGTCGAATAACTCCCCTGACAATGGAAACATTCAATATCAGTGTTCTTGCATTTAAATCCAAACAGATACATAATCACAAATAATATCCTTAATCAAAAATAAACAATATGAAAACAATTATAACATTAAACAAAAAGACAATGTAAACAACAACACTGTGAACGGATGTTCACATGGTGATAACCTACAGGTTCATCATCACACACCCCCCTTCCTCTAAACAGTCACGACCTCAGGAGTGACGTGACAAAAAGTCAGCCATAACATTAAGCACTCCTGGTCTATATTGGATTTCAAATTTAAAAGGTTGCAGGGATAAATACCATCGTGTTATTCTTGCGTTAGTGTCTCTCATTCTCTTGAGCCATTGCAATGCTCTGTGATCGGTCTCAAGCACAAAGTCTTTACCAATCAGATAGTACTTTAACGTGTCCAAGGCCCATTTGATGGCTAGGGCCTCCTTCTCCACTGTGGAATACTTAGTCTCTCGGGGAAAAAGTTTTCTGCTTATGTACTGAACTGGACGACGGTTTTCTCCTTCCCCCTGTAACAGTACTGCCCCCAGTCCCAACTCAGATGCATCCGT